ACATAACATGCATAGCTCAATCCAAAATGAACTGGCTAGGGTAATTAGCATTTCCTAATATATACTTAATGATAATAAGTATTTCAGATGCTGATGGAGATCATCATCATCGACTTTATTTCCACCAATTCAAGAGAGAAACCAATCTAAACAAGTATTTGGGATATTTATAATCAGGAAACAGTTGTATTCTCAACAAACAAGAAAAGGGAAACAGTTGTATGAGATTAAGAAGTTGCATGTAAAATTGGGTTTTGCGCGTTTATTTTATATTTTTTGTTTGTTTATCAATGGAGATTCCTTTTGAAAGGGTGTACTTAGCGACGCCGCTCGTCAGCATAAAGAAAACAACAAAATACTTGACCTCTAGATTTCAATACAAGTTATTATTCTAACTATATATACATAACATAAAAAGGATCCATGTTCAGTGTCTGTGGTAGGTTTGTCAGGTACCGGATACACGCACAACCTAATTCTTATAAGTTAACACTGCTGCCGTTTTAATGCTTCTTCTGCCTGAAGGTGTTCAATAATTCCAAATAGCAATTTTTGTTGGCATCTACCGTTCCATGTGCTCAGCCCTGATCCAGAATATAGTAAAGCATTGTACTAGATTTGGATTTATGATAGACTTTGTTCAAAATCCATCATTTGTTTCAAGTAATTAGAGGTAACAAATCCATGGGGCCCATGGACTTTGAGAGGTCCAAATCCATGGGCCCCACGGAATTGAAAATCCTATCACTTTAGATGGGAATTGATCGTGGACTTTGAAGTCCATCATTTTTTTACCAATCTACCTATGATAACTTCTTTCTCTTCTTATATCATGGCAATAAAGGTCAATTCCACTTCATGCATACAGATTTAATTAACAAAACCCATCATTAAATCAATGAAGCAAACAATAGTGTTTTTCACATCCTTAATCAGCCCAAAAACCTTATATATCATGGTTTTTCAAAACCCAAATTATGCCAAAATCTTCATTATTCAAATCCACGAAGCAAACGACCCCTAGAAAATTAGATATTGTAATTTTTTCTTAGTAACCACGATTTTTCTTACAATGTCAATTGTACACGAAGAACTTTTGATTATTAAATTCATCAATAATGGAATCTTCAGTCTTCATCCAAACCAACAACATACTCTCTTTCAAATAAGATAGTTAACCAATCGATGAGAAATTAATCGCTCATTTTGTTGCGTGAATCAGTTTTCACATGTTTTACTGTTCAAAGGTTCTCTCTGTAGTAGAATTTGATTTTGAATTTGAATTAAGAACATTTATATTTTTGTTGGCTTTATGGGTTATTAGCTCTGTTTGATGTTATAACCGAAAATATACATATTTGACAAGTTTTATTTTATTAATTTTAGATATAGTAATATTATATTTACGAGGCGGCTATTACCCGTGAGTCATGGGTAAGGGGATGGAGTTGTGAAACCCTTTCTCGTGGCTATGAGACCGGGTTTGAATTTTTGTAAATTGGGATGGGAATAATTTAGGAGAACTCGTCCGAAACTTGCATCATTGTCCTTCTTATTTTGGTAAAAATTATGATGATGTGTTTTCAATTCATGTTACATTTTTTCGAACAAATTTTTGTTGTTGTTGTTATATGAATGGTTATTCACAAGTGTTATAACCATTAATTAAGAATACAATGTTTAGTCATTGATGAAAAGTTATAAGAATTTTAAAAATTGAAAAAAAATTTGATGTCACCTTAATTATTGTCATACGAAATTAACCTTCTTAAATAATTTGAGAAGTTTATAAAACACTTCATAAACACGTTGTATTCGAATGACATTCCAATCAACAAGTCGGACACCAAATTAGTCCCTAAACATGAGAAAATAAGGGATGAAGAAGGAAATGAGTAAATGACGCATAATCAGAAGGGCAGTAATCTATAGACCTTGGCGTGCATGTTGTGCAGATCGATAGATCTTTGGATTGTTTGGTGTCAGAGTGAAGCAATCAACAGCCAAAAGGCAATCTAGTTTCCATCGAAAAACACTTATTACATAAGGCAATCTAAAGGCACCTCTTCCCAGCTATGCTGCTGTGGACAATTACATAAACTACGACTGTTTTTTATTATCAATAATATATTGCATAATAACAATAATTTATTGGAAGCTGGATTTGTATTTGAGTACTCCTCCTTCAATAATTAAAGACAAATAATGTTTCCTTTTCTTTGCTTGTTTTGTTCCATCCATGTTACACTTACACGTTCCATCATCCATGTATGTTTCAGAAAAGACAAGATATATAAGAAGTCAATTTCCCTATTTCTTTTTTCTGAAATTTATTTTCGTACTAGTGTAGCTGAGTATTGATATGACTGAAATCAGATAATATGTCTTCAACCGGAAGTCACGAGGTTTTGTTGTTTGGTTAGAAAGTCGGTACATGAGGAAGCAAAATACTATATATACTTTTCAATCTATTTATAATATGTGATCTTCTCGAGTATAGTGAAATTGGCTTCTCTTGTCCATGAACATAGCTAACATATATCGTGTTAGCGAACCACGTAAATCTATGTGTTTTTTTTTTTTTTTTACATTATCTATTATCCCCATCCATTCTAACAGTGAGAAATAACTCAATGTTTCATCACTCCCTCTGGTGCCTGAAAAATTCTAGAGTTTCACATTGGGAAAAAAAACTATATTCTTATGTTTAACAGATAAAGCTTAGGTCTTAGTTCTCTAAACCTCAATATTAATTCAATTAAAGACAGCAATCACCAAGGGCAAGATTTAATCGCTTGTGATAGAGTTCTCTAGCACCATAGTCGTGCATTTTTTGTTGGTCATTTTACTAGTGCTCATATCGTATGAAACTAATTGAAGAAAGTGAAATAAGTTCCATTGATCTATCATGTGATAGTTCGATGTTATTCACTTTTACAAATTTATGAGAGTAATTAAGCATGATTTGTCGAAGATTGCTAATGTCTTTTTCTATTCTTTGTTGTGGCTTTTTGTGGCAACTCTATATTGGTCATCCGGCATATTCCGTCGAAGGAAACTACACTAGCTGGTGGGACTATTTTGGAGATCTTGGAATTTTTTCCGTCAGTGTCATGTCTTTGCTCCTCAGAGCTGCCCAAGTAGTGCCTTAACAAACACTTTCATCGTTAATCTGATTGTATATAAACTAACGCGCAAAGTTTGAATCGATCTGGTAATCGTGTTGAGTTTTTGTCTCAAGCACTTTGGATTTGCCTCGAGAAAAAAAAAACATTTTGATGGCAAGGAATAATAGTTTCTAATTTTTGGATTGTGACTATCCACTTATCCATTTAAGAAACAGACAAAAGTCTCATATTTTATTTTAAAAAATAACAGTTTGTTTTCACATATAAATTTAGTTATTACATAGACTGAGTTGAAGGATGATTCGCCATTTTACTCTCTCGATTATCCAAAAGACATACGAATTTCTATTCTTTGCTCAGGAAAGGGCAGAATGACTGTGATTTGTCTTCCTTCAATCCATTACTTGGTTTTAGCATTTTCATCTAATCAAGAAATGTCAAATGTTTGGATGGCGATAGATGGACAAAACATTCGATATATATCCAATTCTTTGAAACCAAGTATCACTTATTGAAAAAAATTTTATATTTTTTAAATAAAAAATATTGACAACACAGTATTGTCAAGAAAAAAAAACATGATCCCATTATATAATCTCCAAACTATCTTGATTTACAAGACGATCATGTAGTCCGATGACTAAATCCATTTTACTAAACAGTAATTCGCATTTTCAAATGAAATTTGGTCCATTGGTGTAAGTATGTATTTATTTTATGTTGTTGGAACGAATACTCTGCATTCACATATGTTGGATACACATTATCACATAATGTATATAACGATTGTGAATCTCGGAATGCTAAAATTGCCAATTGCTACCTCCAACACTTTTTATGCAATATTCAGAGAGTACCTCTATCAAAAGTGTGGAGAATATAATTACCAATGTGATTAGGACAGAGGAGTAATTAGTGTCCTCCTTAATCAAATTGGGATAAAAGGAAAGAGGAGAAGATAGAAATGACGTTTCCCTCTTCCTTCCAGCACCCATGCTGCTAATTAATTAACCTCGTTAATTTTCTATCTTGTTACTGACTAAATATTAACCCTTCCGATATTGTTTCCAATGGGAAGGCCGAAGGCACCAAGAAAGAAAGGCGGGAGGGGGAAGGAGGAAAATTCTTTCACATTTGAAAAAAATGAAAAGATGCCTTAATTAGTGAAAACCTCAATTTCTTCAATAATTTAACTATATTTCTCATAATATTGTTTGTTTCCTTGGTCTTATAATAAAAACAACGAATATTTCTAATATTTTTCATATAAATTGCATACCCGTTGGATCGACCTGCCCCGACCCATGACCCGTGATAAATTACACGACCTGGACCCGACCTGCCACGGGGCGGGTCTGGGTACCAAGAAACCCGCCCCGGACCTGCCATTGCCATTCCTACTTCTCACTTCTCAGGCGATTTTTACGGTTTTACTGGTTGACTTCCTTGTTGGGCTGTCAAAAACAGGAAACTATTATTCACTACTTACCATGTTTTGGGTTTCACGTTTATGCTAGGTCCTTAAATGGGCCGCACTGCCCATATTATTATTATTAAGTTAAGGAAAGTTAAAATAATGAAAACGGAAAATTAAAAATACTACAAAAAAAAGTCTCTCAAAATTGTATTTTAGGCAGCTAAAAAAAAAACATACAATATTTTTTCAGGATGGTGATTGGTCAGTGGGGAACTTTCATCGAAAAGAAAAATGGGAAAACATTAAAGAATTAACCCAGGCAGCGGCCAGGCCCCACCCAGCTCAGCTCACAAGTAAAGAAGAAGAAGAAGAAGAAAAAGAGCATTAGCCCGCTTTCTGTGTCTTTATTCTCCTAATCGCTTCTCTATAAATAACTCTCCCCCACCACTCCTAACCATCTCCCCCTAATTAACACATAATTCTCTCTTTCTCTCTCTCTCTCTCATCAGCCAACGAACAGAAGAAGAAGAAGAAGAAGAAGAAGGAAATGGAGGATTTGGGATCCATGTGGAGCTACCAGGAGGTGGGGATTTCCTCTCTCTTCCTCTCACTCTCCCATCGTTTCTGGATTCTCCAACTCTGTTCTCTCGCATTCTGCAATTTTCCACGTTTCCTAGGCTTCGAAATCAAGGGATGTTCATTTTTCGGAGCAAAACAGAGTCATCATCACTCTGTATTTCTTTCTTCTCTGAAACAGAGTCGGTCCTTCTCTGCTTCCTCTGTTTTCTAAACCCCCCATTTGTTTTGTTTTTATTTCAGCCTCACCGTCCGACACGTTCCCTGTGTTTCCTTTTGGGCTCGTTAGCAACACCATTGTCAGATTGTTTTCATTTTTCCGGATCCCCATTTCGGTTCTTTTTTTCTTCTTCTTCTTCCTTGATTCCCGAACGTGGAAATGTTCTGTCCTGTTATGGACATGCTTCACTTGGAATTTTGGGAGTACTAAGGATTTGTCCCCTTTTTCAATTTCCACCCTTTTTAAACTTAGTGCGGGGAACCGACGTCGATGTCACTCATTCGGTGGCCTAAAATAAAAATTCCCCTTTCAATTTCTGTATCCATTTGAGTTGACCCTGATTGTGATTTCTCCAATGGCAGAGCTCTGAAACTTAATTTCCTTCCTTGGTTTTTTTGCAGAGCATGGACGAGGTAAAACAGAGCCTTCTGTACAAGACCCTGGAGCTGGAATCAGTGAAAGCGGAAGCCAACGAGAAATTGAGCAAGTACAAGGACGAAATGAGCCAGCTGATCGACCTCCTGAAGCTTGCTTACCAAGAAAGGGACGAGGCCAAAGACCAGGTCCAAAAGCTTCTCAACAAGGTCATGCCTTCTGAAACCAACCCAATTCCCCACCAGCAGCAACCAGATAGCCCGATTTTGATTCAGGGGAAAGCCAATTCGAGCATAACCGAGTCCAACAGCCTCTCCGAAACTTACAACCCGCACTACTCCCACAGCTCTTCCCCTGTGGATTCCTTCTTCCACGACGCCGCCGCCGCCGCCGCCGCCGTGTCCTCGCCGGAATTCTCAAGCATCAACATTGCAGCAGCTCCCCCTGTTATGGCGGCGGCTAAGGTTGACCCTTTCGATGCCGTGATCGATCGTCTGGTGAAGGGGAAAGCTCTGCCGCAGCAAGGGAGCCTTCTTCAGACTGTGATGGAAGCAGGGCCGCTCCTCAACACGCTTCTCGTCGCCGGGCCGCTGCCACGATGGAGGAATCCCCCAAAGCTCCAGACTTTCAAGATCCCTCCCGTTTCGATCAAGGGATGTGATGGTTCTGGCAAGACCAGCGCCGCTGCTCAATTGCAGCAGCAGAAGGTGTTTTTCGGTTCTCAGACTTGCTCTGCTGCTTCCATGCTGAATTTCGGGAATGGGGCTGCTTCTGGTTCTGGGTTCGGGTCGGGTTGGAGTTTGGGCTCCGGTGGCGTCAGCCAATTCCCGGTGGGAAAGAGGCAGAGATTTCAATGAGGCCTTTTTTTTCTTTCTTCTTCTTGTTTTGGAAGAGTTGCCGGACTTTCCACCCCCAGGATTAGTTCCCTGTAAAGAGGAAGAGAAAGTTCAGAGAATAGAATTTTACCGCTGCTAGTTGTGGATCCTGTAAATGAAACAACTTTATTATTCTGTGACATAGCCACATAGGTGGTCTCTATTTATTTAGTTAGCTGGTAGCTCTGGTAATGGTTTCTCTTCTCTCGTTTGCTTTTCAGCCTTTTTTGGAGGCTTCCATTCTTGTAAACATGGACCAACTACTACATTATAGTTTGTCCTTCCATTGAGCTTCATTTCTTCCTCGGGCGAAATTGTTGGATAATTTCTTTTACAATATTGTGTTTTTATTGATTTTCGTCAATGACATGGTGTTGAGTGATACACGCTAACTTACTAACGATCAACAGAAGCAGCATATCGTATTTGAGTAATTATTTTAAAATCGCGAACATTTTAGGGGTTTCGAAAAGTTTTAAGGTAAATAGTCTTTTAGTTGAAGTTTCAAACCAAACTAGGATATTAACCCTTCAAAATTATGTCAAAAGTAATGAAGGATGGTGTATTTTCACTACAAGGAACTAAAACCTAGATCATAATTCTAAAAATCTTAAACCATTGAATAAAAATAATAATTAATAGCCCTGATTCGTGTAAAAACTTCCAACATACTAGATGTTGAGGTCAGCATCGCAATCTCGGCAATCAACTCCGGCTGGAATCAAATTCTCAGAATCGGTTGATTGGCCACGAAGATGGAAGGTGGCGAATACAAGAAGAAACAAAGAAGGAAAGTCCAACGTTCCTTTCAAACGACTATCTATAGAAGGTCAGTATATATAGCGCCTTGAACGATAAGAAGAGACAGACTTTTCGAGGCAAACAAAACCAAGAGAGCAGCATGTAGCTTGTGTGAGCTTTAGTTAAGAGAAAAGCCAGTTAGAAGATCAGGGAGACTTCTGGGTTTTGAAAACAAGACCGATAACACAGGATTTAACGTGGTTTCCCTGAGTGTCAGGACTAGTCCACGGGAGAGTCGAAACCCTCCAAAGTCAATCTTATTACGTTACCAAAGCAGCTGTACAATTATCTATTTATATAGAGGCCACGCTAAACCCTAATGACTAAGGCTAATTAAATTACACAAAGGTAACCTAAATTTAACACCCTCCCTCAAATTGATGTTGGGTGCGCAACATCAATTTGGCTGATAGGTACCAATGTCTGCTGGAAGCTAAAGCCTTAGTCAAAATGTTTGCGGGCTGATCTTCTGTTGACAGATAACTCAACTGTATTCTCCCCTCTGTCACCAGCTGTCTAATGTAGTGAACATGGACCTCTATATGCTTTGTGCGATCATGTAAGACTGGGTTGAGAGCAATCTGGATTGCACTTGTATTATCACCGTATAAATGCATAGGAACTCTGCAATTAACTCCCAACTCCTTCAGTAATCGCTGCAGCCAAACCAGTTCAGAACTAACATCTGACATCGAACGATACTCTGCTTCTGTTGATGACTTAGAAACTCGATCTTGTTTCTTACACCGCCAAGATACAAGTGATCTTCCTACTCTGACGCACCAGCCTGATGTCGATCTTCGTGTGTCCGGACATCCTGCGTAGTCGGCATCTGCAAAGGCTTCTATTACTTCCTCACCAGCCGAAGGGAAGAATAGGCCAACGTCCTGCGTATGCTTGAGGTATCGCAGGATTCGATGAACCGCATCCAGGTGCTGACTACGTGCAACTCCCAAAAATTGACTCACTACCTGCACAGCATAAGAAATGTCGGGTCTAGTGTGAGTTAAATAAATCAAGCTTCCTACTAAGCTGCGGTATAGGGACTGATCCTCCATTAAATCTCCACTGTCCCTAGTTAGCTTGAGATTCTGCTCCATTGGGGTTGAAACTGGTTTGCAGTCTGTGTAGTGTGCCGTCTCAAGTAAATCTGCCATGTATTTCTTCTGTGACACGAAAACTCCCTGCGAAGATCTCTGGACCTCCAAGCCCAAGAAGTATGACACATCACCAAGATCCTTAAGTTTGAAAGCCCCATGAAGCGACTTTTTCAACTCCTGAATACCATCTGAATCACTCCCGGTAATTATCATATCATCAACATAAATCAATAGAACCACTATCCCATCAACTGTATTCCGAACAAATAATGATGGGTCATTCTGGCTCTGCTCAAATCCAAGTTGCACAATAACGCCATGAAATTTCTCAAACCAGGCACGAGGTGCTTGTTTGAGACCGTAGAGAGAACGAACTAGTTTACATACCATATCAGCTGAACCCTTGGTATATCCTGGCGGTCTCTCCATATAAATAACTTCTTTCAAGTCACCATGCAAAAAGGCGTTCTTCACGTCCAGCTGAAACAACGGCCAGTTTCGCATTGCTGCAACTGCAAATACACACCGAACTGTTTGCATTTTAACCACTGGAGCAAACGTCTCATTATAATCAATTCCATACTCCTGTAAGAATCCCCTAGCCACGACCCTGGCCTTGAATCTATCGATCGTATCGTCAGGGTTCATCTTAATTGTATACACCCACTTGCTACTGATGACTGACATCTCTGGAGTTCTCGGAACTAACTCCCACGTGTGATTTGCATCCAGTGCATTACTTTCTTCCTGCATTGCCATTTCCCATTCTGGATGACCCACCGCTTGAGCATAAGTTGCTGGGATAAAGATTGGTGTAGTAGCGTAACCCACGTAGTCATGTAATCTCAAGGGGGGTTGACCCAAAGTGCTACGATTGGAGCGCCTAAGAACAACCGTACCATTATTTTGATCATAGCCTTCTCCATTTGACATTTCCATTTCATTTTCTGGCCCATTCTCATCATTTTTCAACAACCCAGAGGAGGAACTTGACGAGTTTGACGAGGAGGAGGAGCTCCTCGTGCTGTTGTTGGACGAGCTAGAACCTGTTCCACTATGTGCATGAGGAGGAGATTCCCCTTCGAACGAGGAGCTTGACGTCGAGGAACTTGACGTCGGAGATGAGTTCCCAGCTGCTGTCGAGGGAGTATGAGGGTCATCATCATCATTAGTCAAATTCCCTCCCTGACCCCCATGCGCACTCGACGTAGTCATGTCCACAAGGCCTGGCACAAAATTCAGAAACTCCAAAGATAATGCATGTGATCGCTTGTCTTGAGGAGTAATGGGATAATACATGACATGCTCGAGAAACAACACATGGTATGCAATGCGCATCCGCTTACCAATCGGATCGTAACAACAATACCCTTTATGTTTTTCGCTGTAACCAACGAAAACACATCTAACAGTTTTCGGAGCGAGCTTGTGACGTTCAGCCCGAGGAAGAAGAACAAAGCATGTGCAGCCGAAAACTCTCAAGCGAGAGTAATCAGGCGGACGATCGAAGAGCATCTGATATGGTGAAATTTGTCCCAACGTCGGAGTGATCTGTCTATTGATAAGATAGATAACGGTATGAACTGCTTCAACCCAATAACCATTCGGCACATGCGAGTGAAATAGCAGGGCCCGTGTAAGCTCCAAGACATGTCGATGCTTCCTTTCTACAAGGCCGTTTTGCTGAGAGACACCGGGACACGAGAGTTGGGTCAAGATGCCTTCGGACTTGTAGAAGTCAAGTAACTCTTGCTTGATAAACTCCCCTCCTGTGTCTGAGCGAATAGTCTTAATGGTTTTTCCAAATTGTGTTTTGATCAGCTGAACAAATTCCTTAGCCAACGAATACAATTCTGATTTCCGACGTAGAATATAAATCCATGCATACCTCGTCTTGTGATCCACAAACTTGGCAAAGTAACGATATCCCATACGAGACGTGACTGGCGATGGACCCCATAGGTCCGTATGAACTAAGTCAAAAGGCTCTGCATAAACCGTCTCACTTGATTCAAACGAGTTCTGAGAAGCTTTCGCTTCAATACAACTCACACAATCTGACTGAGAACCCACGGAATGCTCAAATTTCCCAGGCAATAAGTTCTGTCTAAACATCGTCAACAATCTAGCCGAATTGGGATGACCCAAACGACAATGCCACAAATCCCAAACTGAAATATTCTTGTTCGAAATCAAATCAACTGACTTAACAGATAAATCTTCAACAAAATCCTTCTTAACCAAAGACAACTTCCTCTCGCTGGACTCCATTTTTGTGACTGCGGCCGCCGAACTCCCCACATGTGCATGCAGCCCATGCACACGTTCCTTCCTGTCCTCTAATTCTTCATTCCCAAACGCACCAGCAGCTCCCTTCAAATCATCCAGCACAAAGAGGCGTCCTTGTTTACTTCCTTTCCCTACCACCGTCCCCGTCCTCTTGTCCTGTACCACACAACCATTCGAATTAAACGTCACATTGCAACCCTCCTCAGTGAGCTGCCCAACCGAAACTAAACTAGGAAGAAGACCAGGAACATATAAAGTATCCGGAAGGGTAATGGCGGAGGATGAGATAGTGCCACGACCCTTAACCGCCACCTGATCACCATTAGCTACTCGTAGATTCATACGAGAAACGGGCTGCAGCTTATCAAATGTAGAGAGAGCAGAGGTCATATGGTTAAACGCGGCTGAATCAATCAACCAACGAGGATACTTACCCGGCGTAACGCCCGTAGCAAAAGCGGAGTTCAGCGCCTCGCTTAAAGCTTCTTGCACCATTTTTCGGATCTGTTCGGGAGTTAACGAAGTCCCCCCATTGTTGTGCGATGATGTTCCATTAGTGGCTGGAGAAGGTGTCACTACATAAGCTGCCTTTGTTCCACGCGGTGGCGCTGCACTTCGAGGAGCAGAGGGACCAGCACCAGCTGAACTATTACTGGGGAAGCGAATTTTTCCTCTCTTTCCCAAGGTTGGACACTCTAGAACAATATGTCCGTCCTTCTTGCAATAGTTACAATAGTTACGTTTTTTGCAATGAATTTGAACATGGCCCGATTCTTGACAAAAGTGACAAATGACTTCACCAGAACTTTGTTGACCAAATTGAGGACGAGTAGAGTTACCAGATCGTCCCACAGCGAAGGCAGATTCAGATGGCCCATGATCGATCTGTGCTTGACTTTTGAGCCTGGTTTCTTCGCGAATCAACTCAGCCACAACTTCTTCAAGATTGGTAACACCTCGATGGATCAGCGAAGCTCGAATAGGCTCAAAGTCAGACCTCAACTTCATCAAAAATTGCATGACACGAGTTCGTGTTCTTTCCTTCTGAATTTCGGCCGAAGCATCCCCAGACAGCAACGAGGCCGTAACAAGGTCGTACTCAGTCCATATGTGCATACAATGTTTATAATAACCTCTCACGTTCCTATCTCCTTGCGCAAGTCCAGCCATCTCCAATTCCAATTCATACAAACGAGAGGTATTTGCCTGAGAGTACGTACCGCAAATATGCCTCCACATCTCACGAGCCGTTTCAAATCTTCGGAGGCTCAGTGCTGTCGGTACATCTAGCGATCCAAGGAGAGCTGTCACAACCTGAGCGTTGAGAGCCGCCCAGTCGTCCTTCTGTTGTTGGGTAGCATCCACACCAGGTGCCTTCAATTCCCCCATCAACACTGATGTCAATTTCCTACCAGCAATGTAGTTCCGAAATTGGAACTCCCACAAGGGAAAGTTACTCCCATCGAACTTAGTTGCGATTGTATCCGCCTTATTCGAATCCATCCTCGCAACGACCAACCGGATTAGTGATCGCCAACCGCGCAGAAAACAAACCTTGTGAGAAGCAAAAGTCTTGTGAAAAAACAACCCCTAGGACTCGCAGCTGCAACTCCCTTCCCTCACACAACTACTGCCTTGCTGCGTTCCACCTGCTGCGCCAAGATCACCAATCAAATAGACAAATAAACCTGCTGCGCCAAGATCACCAATCAAATAAACAAATCAAGTCGTGAATCGACGTGGCTCTGATACCATGTCAAAAGAAAACAAGACCGATAACACATGATTTAACGTGGTTTCCCTGAGTGTCAGGACTAGTCCACGGGAGAGTCGAAACCCTCCAAAGTCAATCTTATTACGTTACCAAAGCAGCTGTACAATTATCTATTTATATAGAGGCCACGCTAAACCCTAATGACTAAGGCCAATTAAATTACACAAAGGTACCTAAATTTAACAGATACTAGGTAGTATCAGGAAACTCTGTTAGCTGGGTAGTTTATAGAGAGGCATTAGAGAGTGGATCGATTGAGCAAGGTTGCTGGTCGATCTGGGATTGGTGAATTTTGTAGAACCTCGACAAACGTCAAGACAAATTCATAGTGGAACGTCTGAGAACGCTAACCGCGAAACTCCGACCGTAGACTAGTCAACGTTGTGATCCTCTTTCTCCCAACGTTGGAAATTACGTAAAAAACTCTGGTGCAGTGTTCTAGTTTCATGTACTCTGTTTTCTACTTGTGTGTTCTTTGCTCTGTTCTTCGTTTGCGGTTTATTATCTTGTTACAAGGTACACTTTGATCGATGAAACAAAAATAAAAAGGGTTGGGAACAACTACTAAAACGTTGAGTTTTTGGTAAAGGGGAGATCTCATTATATTTGCTTAACTTGGACCAAGGTTGCTATCAATACTGTGCGTACAGGTTAAAACAAGGAAATAGAGTGGGCTTAACATTGGATTTCGGTTGAGGCTAGAATTGGGCTCAAGCCCTTCTCTTTATTCCCCGATCCATTGCTTTGCCTTGGTCATTTCACAATACCATAATAGGAAGTTGTTTCCCCCTGTGTCGATCGAATTTCCTCTTTCAGGCATCTCTCTCACATGTTCTTAGCAAAAGCCTTGAGTAAAGTTTTGCAGGTGCTCAATTGACTGGAAAATAACAAGAGGAACGCCCAGAATGTCTTGCGCTCGACGAACCAACACGTGGTATCATAGCCTGGTTTCGTCGAATAAGATCCTACGATCTCCGGAGGTAAAGAAATCGTGTATGGATCTGGAAATGGTGCTGTCCTCTATCTCGCAGATGGATTATCTCAGAATCGGCCACCTAGATTTGAAGGAGTCAGTTACGGATACTGGAATAATCGCATGGAACTCTTCATCGGTTCAACTGATCCAAAGATTTGGGATAGAGTCCTCGATGGTCCTCTCGAGGTGAAAGCTGATCGAAGCAAATGGACGGATGAAGACCGAGACAAGCACCAACGAAATTTCAAGACCACAAACCTAATGTATTGTGTGCTTAGACCAGAAGAATATCACAAGGTCTCTGGGTGCAAGACTGCGAAAGAAATCTGGGACAAGCTTCAGTTCACCTACGAATATACTTCTCAGGTTAAAATCTCATGCATCAATACTTTGAAATCGGAGTCCGAGTTGTTCAAGATGATAGAAGGGGAGACCTTTAGGCAGATGTATGAGATTTTTACCACTACGCTAAACAGCCTGGATAGCATGGGAATTACTTATGAGAGTGGAGATCTAGTTCGAAAACTATTGTGGTCTCTACCCAAGAAATGGGAAGCTAAAGTGACTGCTATTGAGGAAGCCAAAGACTTGAGCAGGTTGTCGGTGGACGAGTTAATCGGTTCACTAACACCGTATGAAGAGAAGCTCAAATGAGAGATAGGTGAAGAAGAAAAGAAAGATAAATGTGGAATAGCATTCAGGACTTAAGCATATGCTGAACACTCAGATAACTACGAAGACATGGATGATGATGACGAGCTCGCAATGCTGAGCAAACATATCTCCCAACTTATGAGGATGCGAAAAGAAAGAAGGCGAGGAAGTTCTCTCATCAATATAAAGATGCATAAAAGGAACAGGGACATGGAATTGGAAAGCAAGGGATAAGTCGTATGAATCAAAGAGTAAAAAGAGACATTGTCCAAGTTGAGAAAAATCAGACCGACTGCTTTAAGTGTGGAAGACAAGGCCATATAAAGGCTGATTGTCCACTTTGGAGAAGTGAAAAGGCGATGGCAGCAACATGGAGCTGTAGCGAGGATGATGAAGATGAGTTTCAGGAGCAGTCTCGAAAGAAGGACACATGTTTAATGGCAATTGATGATCAGGATGCTGACAACAATCTTTCTGAGGTAAGTAAGCTCTTTATTCGCTTGATGCGAGAATTGGGCTGAAGCCCTTCTCTTTATTCCCTGATCCATTGCTTTGCTTTGGTTATTTCACGAACACAATAAAAGGAAGTTGTTTTCCCCTTTGTCGATCGAATTTCCTCTTTCAGACATCTCTCTCACCTATTCTTAGCAAAAGCCTCGAGTAAAGTTTTGCAGGTGCTCAATTGACTAGAAAATAACAAGAGGAACGTCGAGAACGTCTCGCGCTCAACGAACCAACACTGCACCATCTTAGTATTTAGGGTTTAGATAATTGAGACTAGGGCTGTCAATTTGGTTTGGTTTGGTTAACCAAACCATTAAGTATGAAAAACCAAAAACCAAAAACCAAATCCCAAAAACCAAAACCATTAAGGGCCTTAATGGTTTTGGTTTGGATAACCAAAAAACCAACATGTACTCATACACTAATATTTCTTCCTATCTCCCTCCTTTTTATTGAATAAACGTCATAATAATGGTAAATGGCCATAACAAATTATTGGTTGGCATGCGTGTCAAAAGAAAAAAAAAATGTTGATAAATAAATTTATTCTTATTGGTTTCTTAATGGTTTCTATTGGTTTTTCGGTTTTAACCAAACCAAAGCCATTAAATTGCTTATTGGTTTAAAACCAAAAAGCTGAAACCATTAGCTTTCCAATTGATTTGGTTTCGGTTAAAACCAAAAAAGCAAATAAACAGCCCTAATTGAGACCTGGCTATGATGTAGTCATTAAACATTAAGTGATAGTACCATGGTGAAAACTTCAGGTATTTAAGGTCTAGATAATTTTATTGATAGGAAACGTGGCACATGGTTGTCAAATTTACTTTGAGCCAGTTTGTTCTTCCGGGTCTTACATATGGTTTTGGGTTGTTGCAAGTTAACATTCCACTTATGCTCAGTCTCGTTGGTAGTGAACCACAACGGCATTTAGAGCGGATGCTGCGGCAGGTTATGGGCTATTATTCGGTTTTGCATTCTTTTGGATTGACTGACATGACACCTGTCTACTATTGGGTGCGATGGGAATTGGGAGACAAAGAGTCGGGTCAAGGGAGAGTGTGAACTAGATAACGTTGTTGTTAGACTACGAGTAGTATGAATGTTGAATAGTTTTGTAACATAGTACGGGTACTATTAGGCAATTTGTTGTAGAGTGTTCTTTCAAATTCGTTTGTGTTTACATGTTAGAGTCCAAACTAAAAATTAGGTATGTTTTTATTAGTGTGAGAGTTTAAGTAAGTCTTTGTATCCTATATAAGCTCGTTAGAGTTTCAGTTACAAGATAGACAAATAAATATTCATCTTCAAAATGACATCGCTGCAGGTGTTGCTGTTCTTTGTGGCTTGTTACCTGTTTGTGAACTTTTGATGCTTTTTAATTAATGACTCCTCGGAGGGGTTAGTTGCCAGCCCCGAGTGCCCTTGATCCTTGGAATTTCTTCCTTCCCGAATGTTGAAAGTTTCAGTCAACACAGTCCTTAGCCCACAATAGTGCTCATCGTTAACAAAAAAAGATAGACCAATATTCATCGTATTTTAATTTCTCAATAGTTTGTATGTTTGAAGGGGTGGGCATTCGATCAGCTCGATTTCGACCGAACCGAAGTTATGAATATTGGGTCCTCGAATTCTCTCAAACCTCAAACCGAATTATAATTCGGTTCGGTCGATTTAAACCGAATTATAATTCGGTTCAGTTCGGTTTTTCACACAAAATCGAATTTGTGAAGCTACTTGTATCTTCTCACTTTAAAATTATTTTTCACCCCTAATATAAACAAAAAATATGCAATTATATGCATCATCAATGGTAAAATCAAACTTTTCAACACATAAGTCATAAAACATTTCAAATATTTAAGTCTAAAAACAAGTATAAACATAAAAACCCACCATTTGGAGCTTGCAATTATAGTATTTCGGTTTTTCGGTCGGAAATTCAAAAATTTGGTTCGGTTGAAAGAACTCTGGTTTCCGAACTATCCATATTTTCCTTCTGAATTCCGAACCGAATAGCATTAATTCGATTTCGGTTCGAATTTACCGAACCGGTTGCTCACCCCTATATGTTTGGTTTCGAATTTTACTGGATCTACCCAAAGGGACATGTATGTAATGTAACACTGTATTGCTCCGAATGTTTCCTTTCCCCGTGCACTTCGTATGTTTAGTTCCTTCTTTCCCAAGGAAACTTGGTGTAGACTAAGGTGCATAACTAGATTTGGGTCTCTTAATTTTGGGAGGGGTGAAATTAAAAGCATTTTCCTTATTTTTCCCTGCTTTATTTAATATTTTATCTTATTCATTTTTATTCGAATTTTTTTTTCACAGTTGGAACGAAGTCATTATGATCTACACAATGATATTCATTTTTTAATATATTTCTGAATTTTTTTTTCATACCATTCGTTATCACTTTATACTACCTTCATTTTTAATTCAAAATTTTGCAAATATGGCACAGAAGAAACAACTTGACAATGATCTACAAATTCTTAGGAAAAATTTTCAGAACCAAACATACCTCTGGTATAAGACGGTGGTAAAAGGTGAAAATGATAGTAAGTATATTTCTACCATCATGCACATAATCATTCTACACTATGTTATATTCACACCAGCATGTTTCATGCCAAACCTGCGGGTTACCAAATTTACATGTTGGTAGAATGCATGGGAAAGCACGACCAATCGTCTCAAGTCTCAACTATCTGGAGACGGCTCCAGCGTAGCTTTCAGCTGGTGGCAGCGGGTGCAGCCACAGCCCACAAGCATCCCCCAGCTTGCCAAGCGCGTCCCAGTTCGGCGATGCCATCAGGCACAAGTTGACATCCGTCATCCTGTAGGTCTATTTTCGCTTTGTGGACAACTGATATTGTAGGAGATTCCTGCAATCCACTGCCAGTACGATTGTGGAACCATCGTAGTCTATAGACCTGTACCTCACAGGCTACTCGATGCAGTTGCAGTATTGGTATAGCACAGTGCACAAATAGAAGCAGAACTAACTCTAAACCTAGTGAAACAAAAGTCAACATTCGGAGGTAACATAAAGGTGATTGAGATTTGAGAGCTGACTTAATGGGAGATCATCCATGGCTAGATTCGGAACAAGGGAACTTATAACAGTTGAAGCCTAGATTATCCATAAACAGTAACAAAGGCTTACAAACTCCAATTTCGTTTTGCATCATCACGACAAAACTGTTTACTCTAACACAAGATATAAAGCAAATCCCTGAGAAACCAAAAAACTTAGATGATGCCAATCTTGTTTGCCACATCCAATGCATCGTAATCTGGCGTCAACCTAACATATGCCTTCTTGGTACCATCAGGCCTGCAATGAAAAATAGACCAACAATGACATAGGATGTTTAGTACATATTAACTACTAATCCCACATCTGAAACCACAAGTTGATAACGCTAGACAAAGCTAATAGCAATAGTGGTTACTGATCAAATTCAATAAACTTCTCCACAAGAGACCGTAAGCATACATATTATAGAACATGCATCATGCTAGTTAGTTATTTTTCCCCCTAAAGGGAACTCGTGACATGCAGTGTACAAAGAAATTTTCTTGAGCTCCATTAATTCAATCTTCAAACTAACTGTAATGCAGTGGGCTCAACCCACAATTTACACATGTTCATACTTATTTCATCTATAACTCAGGAAAGCTTTACATGCTACAAAACTAATAGAGAATGCCAAGAAAAATATTCCGGGTTAGTTCAAGTTCTACTCTTCATAACTACTCTTTTGTCCATAATTCTGCATTCTCATGACAAGTTTTAAGCATACTAGTAAACACAAAATACAAACAGAAGATTTCAGGGGAAAACACTCATCAGAGATATTCAAATTGAAGAATTACCTAATGAGGGTGTTGACTTTCTTGGCCTGGATATCATACATCTTCTTGACAGCAGCCTTGATCTTCTTCTTGTCAGCACGGATGTCAACAATAAAGACCAGAGTGTTGTTGTCTTCAATCTTCTTCATGGCAGACTCGGTGGTCAGAGGAAACTTCAGAATCTGGTAGTGATCAAGCTTGTTCCTGGGAGGTGCACTAATCCTTGGGTACTTGGGGTTTCTCTCCTTCTTCAGTGTCCTTGGGCGGTGGAATGTGACCTTGGTCCTTATCTTCTTGGCCTTCCTCTTGAAAGTTGGGCCAGACTTCACTGCCTTAGCAGCTTTGACTGCCTGTGCCTTGGCATCAGGCTTCGGCTTGCTATCTGCTTCATGGATACAGAAGCAAAACAATCAATCAAAAGCTCCAGCAACGAAGGAACGAGCATAAGGGATTCTTAAACAACACCAGTTTCTACCCAAGTATACAAAACTCTAAACCCTCTTCAAGCAAAACTCTATATTCATCTTCCTTACTACTTCCTAAGAAATGGGTTCTGGTTTAATCGATTTCTATTACTAATCTAACAGGTCCCGGAACAACAAATGCTGAACATACTAAGACAAAGCAAACACCCTGATTCACCTTCAAGACAAAGATCAACAACGGCAGGGAAAAGGAATAATCAGTTTCTAGAGCTAGGTCTTACCTTTTGGAGGGGCCATTGCTGCCAATCGATTGAATCACTGAAAGAGTAACAAAGGGTAGATAAGCCTAATGTCAGTAAATCGATGGTTTGCGAACTTATTCAGAGAAGAAAGTTTGAGAAAAGAGATTAAGAAAGGAGAAAGATGAGACCTGTTGCGATCGGAAGCAGCAGCTGGATAGCCGTCCTCTAGGGTTCGTAAAATGGTGGAAGGAAAGCAAGTAGGGTTTATAAGGACGGCGGAATCCTACTGACTGTTTTAACCCACGGACTCCTATATTATACGGACTGGGACTAGCCCAATCTTTATTATGAACTGGGCTTGTCAAAATGGGCCTAGCCTATTTTGCACATGAGAGAGCCGGACAGGATCTGCACCGTCTGAGTCTTATTGGACCACGGCCTGGGTTACCCAACGATGATAGGGCAAGCTCTCGACGATTAAAACCTCCTTGTAGCAGGATTCCTCAAGGAATGCTAGCTTCTTAGCTCATTACACTCGTTAGTTCGATATTGAATAATAAGAATTGAATGCATATTCTTTGTTACTAAAGCGTTGCTAGGTGGTGAAACCGAGGTAATCCACTTAGGACCCTGTCTTTACGGATGTGCGTAGTGAGGAATCTCTAACTCAGCATGGAGTGAGTCCCAAGCGAAGGAAAGAAGGACATGAGAGGCTCATTCATTGCTGATGATTTTCTGAAAGTAGGTTCAAATGACTTAATGGCAATTGGTTTGGTAAATGCCGTAATCGAAAGAATACACCTCTTGTAGGCCTGTCCCTCGCTACAATGAGTAATGGCTATTACACAATGATATAGTCGCCGAGAAACATGCTCGTAGGGATGGCAATGTGTCGGGTTTTGTCAAACCCAAACTCAAACCCATGGGTTTATCTGTGAAAAAAATTCAGGATAAAATTATTGGGTTTGAAAAACTCAAACCCAACCCGGTGGGTATCCGCGGGTTCATGGGTACCCACGGGTTTTTATCGTAAAAAATTTACAGTAACAAGTTTCTATCAAAATTAAAGTCAAATAATAATCTCTCAATACAAATTATCAATATATAAAACACTATTCTAGAAAATAATTTAACTTCAATAAAATAAGTAATGCTAGTGGCTTGATACAAATATATTCATTAAAAAATTAATTAGTTAATAATGATGTTAATTCTTACGTACTTCCAATATTATGACAACTGTTTTACCAGTAAGTTAAATGGGGCCATGAGAAAGGAATTAAACGAGTTCTAATTTGGTTATTTTTATTATTTTCAATATTTTTTAATAGAAAAAATATATGAGAAGATTCTCGTCATCGCCCTTTCTGCCAAAACATTTAGGGTGTGCCTACGGTGACTTGCACTTTCCGGTCGATAGAGATGACAATCAAACCCATGGCCGCGGGTATCCGACCGCCCCCGACCCAGTCAAAGCGGGGAATCCCCGTTTTGACCGAGTATGGGGCGGGTATGGGTAAAACCCGCAAAAAGTTTGATGGGTATGGGGCGGGTATGGTTTTAGCCTCCCCCGCCCCATACCCGCCCCCACCAAGATAATTTCTTCATATATAAAAAAAAATGTGCGTCAAATTATAAACTATCAATGATGATGCAGATAACTTTAGAAAATAAATAGTAGAAATGCAATTGAGTGGACACCTTAATCAAAACCTAATTCATTTCTCTCAATACTCATTTCACTCTTTCACTTTTCCCCTGTCAACAAGATTATGTTAGTTAATTATTATTTAGTAGATGTATCAGAGTTAGAACATAATAATTTGAAAAATATTATACTCTATATTATGTATTAATGGATATTTTAGGATCATATTCTTTGAACCATATTAAAGAAATGACCGTGTTTTGTTGACTTCATGATACAATATGTTCGTTTAGAGTTATAATTAAAACTTTTCTTGTAAGTTTTAGGTATAATAATGTTGGATGTATGGGTATGGGTATTACCCATGGGTACCCGAAACCCACGGGTATGGGAATGGGTTTGCAAAACATTCCCCCGCATGGGTATGGGGCGGGTATGGGTTTGGGTATTTGAAGATGGGTATGGGGATGGTTTAGGCAAACCCGCCCCAAACCCGCCCCATTGCCATCCCTACGTCGACCTCAGTTAGGATTAGGTCGACCTCATTTAGAATTTGGTCGACCTCATATAGGATCTGGTCGACCTCATTTAGGATTCGGTCGACCTCATATAGGATCAGGTCGACCTAATCTATTGTTTCAGTGTAAAAACAGTTCATGGTGCCTACTTTGGATATTCATATCATACAATTGGCTAGATGGAAATTGAAGACTAATGACTTGTTTTGAAGTTGGAGTGTCCCTCTACATATTGAAGTGGAAGAGAGCTCGATAGGAAGTCCAGAAGACCATTTTTGAACCTCATCAAAAGGCTATGCCAAAACTGGGAAACTGCCTGGAAATGGCTAAGTCTGAAAACGTGTTTGTGAAGCCTATTTTGGAGCTCAATTCGAGAAGCATGAACGCGAGTCGAGTCCAGGAGCCTCTACCACGTTAAATTAGGTATGTTTTTATACAAATTCAAGGCATTGGATGAAATATTTTATATCTGTAAGACTTCAAGCAAAAGGGTCGAAGTTGCTACGAAGGTTGTTTTTCTGGCAGACTTCGAGCACAAGCAAGCTGCCAGAAAAACAGCATTCGTAGCAACTTCGAGCCTTTTGTTTGAAGCCTTAAAGATATTCAATCTTTCATCCAATGTCTTGCCTTTGTATAATAAAATACGTAATTTAACGTGGTAGAGGCCCCTCGACTTGACTCGCATCCATGCTTCTCAAATTGAGCTCCAAAGTAGGCTTGACAAACACGTTGCCAGACTTAGCCATTTTCAGGCAGTTTCCCAGTTTTGGCATAGCCTTTTGGTCAGGTTCAAAAATGGTCTTCTAGACTTTCTATTGAGCTCCCAAGTACTTTAATGTGTAGAGGGACACTTCAGCTTCAAAACAAGCCTTTAATCTCCAATTTCCATCTAGCCAATTGTAAGATATGAATCTCCAAAGTAGGCACCATGAAATTGTTTTTACACTGAAACAACAGATTAGGTCGACCTAATCCTATATGAGGTCGACCGAAAAGTGCATGTCACCGTGACATGCATGTCACCATAGCAAAGTCCAAACATTTATTCTTCTTGTAAATTGGCTCAAACCACCTATTTTGTTCTCATACAATCAAAATCCCGATTTTGGTACGATTTTAACGATTTTAATCCCGATTTTAAGCGATTTTAAGGTCCACCGATTTTATAGTAAAATCAGGATCAGAATCCTTAAATAAAATCTTAAAATTCTATGATTTTACGATCAAAATCCCGATTTTAACTGCATTGCGCCTATCCTCTAACAAGAACTCAATATGTCTTTGTCACATTATATTATTGATATTTCGTAACTTATGTGAATCTTTTAAACACTCTATTATATTAAAATTGTGTATACAAACTCCGTACAGGTTCACCAAGCATGCAAACACGCCGACCAAGCAAGAAAAAGATAGGGTTAAAAAGGTCAAATTGATAAAATAACAAATTTCAGTGCAAATACCATATTAACAAATCAATTCTTATAATTCATCCAAGTGTGATATTTTGTACAAATACCACATAACAAATAACATGTATTATGACATGTGGTATTCGTGTGGTAATTAATTTGAATAATAAGTGTGACAAATATATATCACATCCAAATACCCATAAGTATTACATTGTATTATGATGTAATGGATAGTATCCAACCACATCAGATATCAGGTGATTATGCAAACTTTACATAGTAACTTTTCATTGATGTATTGTGTAATGAGTAATTTTCATCTAGTAAACTTTGTACGATGTGTTTGTATCACGGCAGAGTTTGTGGAACTACGCAACGCAAGTGTGGCTTTGGGTATGGCATCCAATTTGGCGGATTCAGATTGCCTATTTCTCTCCGGTTCATCAAATGGCCTATCAAAGGAATCAGTGGCGGATCCAGGGTGGCCACCCCAGGCTCTGGCCCAGTCCTCCTCTGGATCCGTAGTTAGTATAGTCCTTATGAATTTTTCGATTTTAGTCATTCGGCTTAGTGTGATTTTATAATAAAATTGGGTATAACTAGAAAAATGATTCAGATGACCATATTCAAATCACTAATCTAAATTTAGCCTTTAAATTTTAGCCCCAAAGATTATGCATATAAAAAAAACAATGAAACCTAAAATTCTAAAAGTTTAAAACGCATAAGACTAAAAGAAATATGAGGTTTATTCCCTTGAAAACTTACTAGAGCAGTTGGTGGATGCAGGGATTGACACAAAATGCCGATTGATTTGCCTAGTGTTAATGCTGCTAGTTTCAACAGCTACTACGAAGAGAACCTTTTCAACAATGAAATATGTGAGAACTGATTTGCTAAACAAAATGAGCGATGAATTTCTTGTCGATTGCTCAAGTATTTTATTTGAAATAGTGTATACTATTGGTATGGATGTAGGCTCCATTATTGATGCATCACTAAATTAAAATACCGTCGTGTACAATTTACATTGGACAAAAAAACTATAATCATTATGTTTTTTTACTATTCAATTTTCTAATGAAACTCGGCCCAGTGGTCTTCTGTGTTATGGATCCGCCGCTGAAAGGAATGACACCAATTCTTCACAACTTCCAACACATATCCAACTCTCCGAACTTTCAAAATCGAAAAAATCGATGTTCGACGGAAAGTTATCAAAAAAGTTTAAAGTTGTTGTGTTTTTTTCCATTGTCCTAATGCTTCATTAGCCTCCATCAATCAGATATTTTTCAAGATTCTATCTTGGCTTAATTTTAGGAAATTGATAAAGATCGTCTTTAAAATTATTACTGATCGTCCTAAAAAATAACAAAGTTATACTTTGAATCTTTTGACATCTTTAGCAAACAAACATCACTTTGACTAAAAAAAAATGAAAAACACTCAATTTCCCACACTCTCAAATTCATCATTGACATTCTCGAGTCGTAATCGTTGGGAATACGTCCGAATCATGAGTAGCGACTCCGACGAGGTAAAAATCCGGAAAAAAAAACACAAAACCCCTCAACCAAAGCCAATTTTTGAGTGTACCGTGGCTCAACCGAAGGCAATTTTCGGTTGTACCATGAACCAACTGAAAATCACCTTCGGTTGAGGGGTTTTGGAATTTTTTTGGATTTGTTTGGTTTATATCAATAATTTTCTATTCTTTTAATACGATTTATGGTTCCATAAGATAATTTGTTGGATTTTGGTTTATATTTTTTTAGATTTATGGAATTGGGAGGGGTTGTTTGTTTTGTGTTTGATTTTGAAATTCAAAATGGGCAATTCGGTAAATTACATATTAAGTTAGAACGATGGTTAGTAATTTTTAAGACGACCTTTAACCATTCAGTAATTTTAACGACAATTTTTGGATGTGATTAGAGGTAACAATTTTCAATTCAATCCAATCCATCCAATCCAATCTATTTTATCCAAATCCAATTGGATTGGTGGATCCAAATGACAAATTACGATTTAGTACCTATATTTTTTATATTTTACATTTTGGTACCCAAAAAATTTTTATACGAAAATATCATTGGAAAATTTCGTTTTGGTACCTAAAATTTTTTATCATGATATTTTAGTATCCAAATTTTTCAAAATTTACATATTGGTCAAAGACTTAAATGTCATTTGGAAACCTCTATTTGTGATAGACCATCAAACCGAAAAAAATTAGAGGCCGAAACCAGGCGTACCGAAAATTGATAAGTCTGAACCAGTGGAGCCTGAAGGAATCAAATGGCCAGTGTGTCATACACCAGTTGGTCCCAATAACTCGAGTTGTTGGGAGAAGCTTATGTTGGATCTTATACCACAACAACTCGAGTTATTGGGACCAACTGGTTTATGACATGGTATCAGAGCTGGCTTTCTAAGCCCTAAGTCATCATCATGAGCGGTAAATGTACTGATGGCGGTGCAACCGGCGACAGTGGAGGAAGTCTCGTCGTCCCTCCTGTTGTCCCCGTCGCGTTGAGGATTCAAGCATCAGATAACCCAGGTCAACTGTTCGTTGGTGAGTTGTTGAATGACTCCAATTCTGGAGAGTGGGTCACAGATATGACGGAGGCCCTGATTGCAAAAAACAAACTCGGAATTGTCGATGGGAGTGTAGTTAAGCCGGCAGCTGCGGGCGATTTACAGGAGGCGTGGCTCCAGTGCGATGCCCTTGTTAAAGGATGGTTGAAGACAGCCATGGATAAGGAGGTACGGAGCTCCATTCGTTATGCCAAGACGGCTCGGGAGATGTGGACCGATCTTGAGGCACGTTTTGGACGAGGATTGGCTTCTAGGGCGTATGAACTTCGTACGATGATGAGCACTCTGCGGCAAGAGAAGCTCAGTGTATCTACCTTCTTCACCAAATTGCGTGCGATTTGGGAGGAAATGCAGATGATCACACCTATCCCGCGGTGCACATGTGGGCAATGCACTTGTGAAATTGACAAAAAGGTAATGAGCAATATGGAAAATGATAGACTGTTTGATTTCCTTATGGGATTGGGGGATGCTTTTGGAACTGTGAAGACATTGATCCTGTCCATGAAGCCAACTCCAACCCTTGGAGAAGATTACAGGCTCGTCTCCACCAAGGAGCAGCACCGGCAGATTGCTGCAAATCGGCGCCCAACCGTAGATGCTGCCGCATTCCAAGCCCGCCAAGATCGCATGACTTCAGATCATGGAAGGCGAGAGGAACAGTCTCGTAGCACTGATCGCAAGGAGCGATAGCGGTGCAGTCATTGTCAGAGACCCGGCCACACCAAAGAAAATTGTTATGAAATTATTGGTTGGCCGGAGAGGAAGCCTCATTCAGGTGAACGTGATCGGGATTCGCGTCAAGGTGAACAGAAAAAGGAGTGAACCGGGAAACCACATGCCTCCCGTGCTGCGCAGTCCTCGAGTGGTGTTGGAGTTAGTATTCTTGGGCTGAATTCCGACCAGGTACAACAGTTGCTCGAGTTTCTCAATCACAATGGCGGTCAACCTAATCTGTCTTTGTCGTTCAATCCTCAAGTCAATATGGCAGGCAATTTTCTACCACAGTCTGAATGGATCATTGATTCGGTATGCAATGAGTATATTACGAATAATGAGTCCTTGTTAGAAAATTCTGTTGAGGTATCGGGTTATTTACCGGTCAGTATTCCGAATGGGGATAGTGTCACAGTCAAACGAGTTGGGGATATCAGTTTGTCAAATGGAATGAAGCTCAGTCGGGTTCTCAGTCTTCCATTGTTTAAGTGCAACCTTCTGTTAGTTAGCAGGCTCACTCAGGATTTTGATGTCGCCTTAACCTTTTTACGCGACTTTTGCGTCATCCAGGACTTACAGTCCAGGAGGACGATTGGGACGGGACAACTTTGTGATGGTTTATATTACCTTAGGTTGTCTGGTGCCGAGGAGTCACAGGCCTTTGCTGATCGTAGAGAAGAGGGAATGGGGGAGCTTTGGCATTCTCGACTTGGTCACCCGTCGCCAAAGAAGACACCTTTGTCATTTCGTTCTGTTCAGAATAAGTGCAAGAGTGAAACTTGTGATTCTTGTATATGAGCTAAGCAGACACGTTTGCCGTTTCCTAAGAATTCGATTAAAACTAGTCATTATTTTGAGCTTATTCATGTGGATATTTGGGGCAGTTTCAAGGTTCCCACTCACAATGCAGCTCGTTATTTCCTTACTATCGTCGATGATTTTAGTAGGGCTACTTGGGTATATTTGATGGCATACAAGTCAGAGGTAGGGGTGGCAACAAAACCCGAACCCACGGGTACCCACCCGACCAAACCCGGTCAACGCGGGTAAAACCTGTGTTGACGGGTTTTGGGCCGGGTTCGGGTTTAAACCCGCTACACTATTCACCGGGTCGAGTTGGGTTTGGGTTTAGGTAAACTCGCCCCATGGGTACCCGCCCATACACATATAATTACTTTCCCGGTATATTTAATATTCTAAATGATATATCTTCCTTAAACAACTAATATTCTATATGTTTGTGGAGACATATATAATTTGTTCTTTCTAATTGTTTAGAATGAAGTTGATATTATGAAGTGGAGAGTGAAGAAACTTAGTTGACGAGGAAGAAATTTTCAATTAATCTTATTGTTTATATATGTTTATCTTTAATTTTGAACAATTTGTATTGATCATTTGCGGTTTGTTTGTATGCTCTAGATTGGTGTTTTTTGTACGATTAATTTGTATGAGAAAATTGATGTTAAACTTTTATTTTGAAAGAAACTTGTTATTGTAAATTTTTACCACAAAAACCCACGGGTACCCATGAACCCGCGGATACCCAGCGGGTTGGGTTGGGTTTGAGATTTTAAAACCCAACCCCGAATTTTTTTGGCGGATAAACCCATGGGTTTGGGGATAAACCCATGGGTTTGACAAAACCCGCCCCAACCCGACCCATTGCCATCCCTAGTCAGAGGTTGAGGGGTACTTAAAAATGTTTATTAACATGGCAGCAACTCAGTTTGATCAGCGGGTGGCGAGAATACAGGATGATAATGGGTTAGAATTTCAGATAGTGGTCTGCGTGTTTTCTATGAAGATTGTGGCATTGTTTTGCAAACGTCGTGTCCTGATACTCCACAACATAATGGATTAGTGGAGCATAAACACCGACACTCGTTGGAGACTGCTCGAGCACTAAGGTTTCGAGCAAATTTACCGTTGAGATTCTGGGGGGGAGTGTGTTTTGACGACTACCTATCTCATAAATTGGCTACCTTGCAAAATCTTGGGCGATCGATCTCCATATGAGGTATTACTGGGCAAGTCACCTTCGTATGCTCATCTGCGTGTTCTGGGATGCTTGGCATATGGAAAGGATAATCATAAGGGTGTGTCTAAGTTTGATGAACGTGGAAAGCGTTCAGTATTCGTGGGGTATCCGGCTTTTCAGAAGGGATATCGGTTGTTTGATTTATCATCGCGCAAGTTTTACACTTTGCGTGACGTTCAGTTTGTGGAGGACGTTTTCCCGTTCTCGGAGACAACTCCCACTTTGTCGCCGTCACCTCCTGTTGTTTCTCCGGTGGAGGATGGTGCGATGAGGCCCACATTGCCTCTCGTACATGGCCATGCAGGGGACGAGTCCACTCATTCCTCTTAGCCAGCAGTCGAGACGGAACACTCGTCACTAGTGCTTCCTATGTTAGTCCTCCAGCTGCTGCAGCTCAAGTCGAACCTCCTGCAGCTCAAGTCGAGCCTTTTGTGGCTGGTCCCCGCCGCAGTAATCAAGCTCGCCAAGTCTCTCGACGTTTGGATGGTTATGAGCATGAATTTCCTCCATCAAATGTTCAATATCTGATAGCTAATTATGTGGGCTATCAAACTTTTCCCCCTCGGCATCAGAGTTTTCTGGATGCGGTTTCTAGTTAGTCTGAGCCAAGCCATTGGCATGAAGCTATGCGCTACAAAGAATGGCGGGTTGCCATGCAGCGCGAGATTGATGCCCTCGTTGGAAGTGTACATGGACTCTAGTTAGTTTGCCTCCAGGAAAACGTGTTGTTGCTTCTCGATGGGTCTACAAAATTAAGTTCAATGCAGACAGTTCTGTTGAGCGGTATAAGGCTCGTTTGGTTGCCAAAGGCTTTACACAGACGGAAGGGATTGATTACCATGACACCTTTGCTCCTGTGGCGAAACTTGTTAGTGTTCGGTGTCTGCTCGTTGTTGCTGCAGTTCGTGGCTGGGTGGTTCACCAGCTTGATGTTGATAACACTTTTCTTCATGGCGATCTCCATGAAGAAGTTTATATGCAAATACCGCCTGGTTTTGCAACTCCTGGCGATTTGCGAGTTTGTCGCCTTCACAAGTCCATCTATGGACTCAAGCAGGCTTCTCGTAACTGGTATGCCAAGTTTGCATCCACTCTCGTTGGTCTTGGTTTTCGTCGTTCTCGAGCAGATTACTCTCTCTTTGTTCGTCACAGTCAGGGCACATATGTTGCTGCTCTCATTTATGTGGTTGATGTCATACTAGCGGGTGATGATCTAGTCTTCATTCAGCAGGTCAAGGATGCCCTCCATAGTTAGTTTGGGATCAAGAATCTCGGTCCTCTGAAATATTTCCTTGGCATAGAGGTTGCCCGTTTTAAGGCTGACATTGCGCTTTGTCACCGGAAGTATACATTGGATCTTCTTCGAGACAGTGGTCTTACAGGTGGTCGTCCAAGTAATTTTCCCAATGGGCAGCATCATGAGCTCACTCGTCATGATGACACGTCTGTCCCGGTCTCTTCGGATGATGCAGCTGCTTATCTTCGTCTAATTGGTCGATTACAGTATCTCACAGTCACTCGTCCAGATATTGTCTATGCTGTCAACATTCTTAGTCGGTATGTTCATGCTCCCACCTCCACGCATGTTGCTGGTGCTGAGCGCGTCTTACGGTATCTCAAGAATGCGTCGGGTCAGGGCATTCTATTGCCTTCGCATGATCTGCTCCATTTAATCGCTTACTGGGATGCGAACTGGGGAGGTTGTCAGTCTACTCGTCGTTCGACATCTGGGTATTTTGTCACTTTGGGTGGTGCGCCGGTTTCTTGGCGAACCAAAAAGCAGCATGTGTTGGCTCGGTTTTCTGCTAAAGCTGAGTACCGTGCTAAGGTTAGCAAGTTTAGTGAGGTTATATGGCTTCTTGCACTTCTGCACGACATGGGTGTCTCTTGTTCCAGTCCTACAGTTCTCTACTGTGACAATCAAGCAGCTCTGCATATTGCTGCTAATCCAGTCTTCCATGAGCGTACGAAGCATGTTGAGTTTGATTGCTACTTCGTTCGTGATCATGTCACTTCCGCCGAGATCCTTCCTCAGAAGATTCACACTGATGTGCAGCTAGCGGATCTCTTTACGAAAGGTCTTGGTGGTGATCGTTTTCATTTGCTTCTATCTAAGCTGGGCATTTGTAACCTTCATGCCTCAGCTTGTGGGGGAGTGTAATGGGTTGTGTAGTACGCAGTCGTGTAGGCTAGAGGGGGCTTTGAGTCTTTTCCCCTTGGCCGCCGACTAATTATTGTAACCCTAGGGTTTGGCTTGTTGATTAGGGGTTACATGTATAGGTGTCAAAACATAGCCCGACCCGATTAACCCACCCGATCAACCCGACCCCCAACCCGACCGCAACCCGAATTGACTAAAAGTCAACAACCCGTAACCCGCCCGACCCGCAACCCGATTGACTCGCAACCCAACTAACCCACAACCCGACTAACTCGCAACCCGATTAACCCGAACCCGATTGACCCGCAACCCGACTGACCCGCAACCCAATTAACCCGAACCCGATTGACCCGAACCCGACTAACCCGTAACCCGACCGACTCAACCCGAATTTCATCTAATCCACTTGAATAATTATAAAAATATACAATACATAGTTTTTCAAAATAAAGTTTTTCATTCTAAACTTAAGTAAAATTATTTTTTCATTTTGTATAAGAAATTTGAAAAATATGAAACTCACTTGATATTACGTATTTTAAGAAAATTACAAAAATGGAAACATGAAGGTCACTTGAGATCATGACAATATTAATATAATATATAAATTAAAATTTTGGTTAATTAAACTATTCAATAAAATTATCAATTAAATATAAATAAAGTAAAGTAATATATTTAATAATTTGATGTTTTTAAAAGAAGAGGGAAATTTTGGTGTATTCAAGTTTTTGGGAAGAGAAAGAAGAGGAAAATTTGGTTCTTTGAATTTTTTAGAAAAGAAACAAGTGGAAATTTTGGTGGTTTTGACATGTGGGAAGAGAAAGAAGTGGGAAAGTTTGATTCTTTTGCTTATGAAAGAGAAATAAGGAGGGAAATTTTTGACTTTTCAACTTTTTGTAGAAAGAAAGAAGAGGGTAATTTGGTTCTTTCAATTATATGGAAGAGAAAGTGGAGGGAAAATTGAGTTTTTCTAATGTATGGAAGGAGAAAGAAGGAGGTAAATTTTAGTATTTTTGTGAAAAGAAAGAAGGAAACAAATTTGGTGTTTTCAATTTTTTGGTTTTTCATAATTTTAGCTTTTGAAATATGAATCTTTAACTTTTATATGGAGGGCATGACTAGTTAAAATTATTCTTATATGCTTTGAAGACTAATATGTATAAATAAATTAACCATTAGTTACAACAATTTATACTAAACTTGATAAGTAATCTTTGACGGTTCGTTGTTTAGGATATAAAGTATATGGTTAGGGTATAAGGTACATATGGTTTAGGGTGTATATGGTTAGGGTATAAGATATTGATGGTTTTGACGGTTCTAAGTTTTTTATTAACATATGTTCACTTGAAGTCATTTGAAGTCTTTAACGGCAGGAGATCCCTTTTTAATTTATGTTTATGGTACGTGGTTAGGGTACAAGGTATGTGGTGTAAAGTATAGGATATGTGGTTAGGGTATACTAATTAGCAAATATCAATTTTTTTCTATGTTTTGAAAATCAAAGTATGAATTTCACTTTTAAATTAACTATACTAGCAAAATCACAACTCAAGGACATATGGTTAGGGTATAGGTTATGTGGTTAGTGTATAATGTATTGATGGTTTAGGGTATACAATGAACAACATATACTAACTTAATATTGTTGATTGAGGGTAAAGCTAAGTGTATAGGATATATGCTATTGAGTAAGTTATGATTGAAGTCACAATAATTTTACTAAATTTGATAGCTAATCTTTAATGGTTCAATTTTTAGGATAATTCGAACAATTTTACAAATAACTCGTTTGGCAACAGTTTACTAAAGTTATTTGGGCAATGAGTTATTTTGAAATAACTTCTTTTATCACTATGCTTTTGCCAAATACCACACGCCAAATACCATATTTGCATGGTTATACTAAACGAGATACTTTAATCCAATTACTACTGAATTAATACTAAAATATCAAATAAACAATTAACGGTGTCTTTTGGTTGCAAATATTGATATCACCATTACTATTAGCTATAATACTTTACCAATTATGATTAATTATATAACAAGTTTGCAAGTCATACAAATTTATTTAACATTTTGACTAGTTTTTTTCAAAAAAATAAAGTATATATATACGAGGTAAAAATAAATTGGTTAAAAAGTTGAGAAAATATTTTAAATTAGTGTAATAAAATGTGTAAGTTGGTAATGAGTAATGAGTTAAGTTACTTGATGCGCTTGCCAGAACAACCCGAAACCCGACCCGCCCGCAACCCGCCCGACCCAAAACCCGATGAACCCACAACCCGATTTGCCCGCAACCCGATGAACCCGCAACCCGACTAACCCGCAACCCGTTTGAACCCGAACCCGATGAACCCGAACCCGACTAACCCGCAACCCGTTTGAACCCGAACCCGATTGAACCCAACCCGAACCCGCCCGATTGACACCTATAGTTACATGTATACTTGTTGTAAGTGTATCGGCTGCCTACTATGAATGAAAGCTGGGATAACATAACTTTTTCGTGGAGTAAGCTCATTTACACGGAATGAGACGAACCACGTAAACCCTGCGTTGTGTGTTTTGCATACTCAGTGTTCACAAATATTTCACAGTGCCTGGCCGGGTCGACGAATTCCGGCTGCCGGCACCAAAGCCAGCCGAAAAAGTCCAACGGCCAAACCAGGAGCTTGCCGAACGTAATCTTTGAGCCGCCAATTGATCCCTCCGATAATCTTTCCTAGTATATATATGTAATGCGGGGCAAGCCGAATGATATATTCCATCGAATATATTGATTATTCCTAAAATAAAGCTTAAGCTGACTTGCCGGGCCGAGGAAGATGTTCAACCGGCATCTGGTTCCGGCCGTTAGTTTCCTTCGTTTGGACCAGGTTTCGATGGTGAGCCACTGCAACATATTATAACCGGCCGATTCCCCCGTATCGCTATATGCCGTTTGCTAGGTGGTATTGGAATATAAACTTCACCATCACCACTATATGGAAAGGTCGAGTTATAATTAAACAATCGAGATCCTCGGGATTTCTTCTTCTTCTTGTTTTCCCCAATTCGTGCCAATAGGCTATATGTCTCCTTTTCAAGGTTTTATACACTGGCCGGTCTAGTTACATATGTTGCAAAAAGGAAACCATCCACATCCACACACTTTTGATTATTCATTCTTCTAATAAACTACAAATCCAACGTATACAACTTCCATAAAGTTCAGCAATTATGTTTTTGTCTATGGAATACATTGTTGAGAAAATATATTATTATGGGTTTGAAAGCCTCAACGGGAAGCGATCCGACCCACCACTAGGAATGGCAATGGGTATAGAGGTTCGAGCGAGATATCTCGATACTCAATATCTATCTCATGACAAATTGGATTCGAAATGAGTAATTTATCACTAAGCGCCAATCAAGGCAGGTCGTTCCAGAGAAATTTTACAATGCTATATAGTATTGGTGCTATAGGGTTCTGCCTTTATGGTACAACTTAAAATTGTACATTTACGTTATGGTGCAACTTCAGATTGTACCTATACTTTTTGTACAAATTCTTTTATGGTACAACTTGAACTTGTACTTTTATGTGATGGTACAACTTCAAGTCGTAAAGTTGTACCATAATATAATGGTACAAATTGCTTTATGGTACAACCTAAACTTATACATTTAATGTTATGGTACAACTTTAAGTTGTACATTAAAGCACCAATACTATATAGCATAGTAGAAGTGCTCGGTCGTTCCAATGGACATGTAATTTATATGTAAAATATTTCATTAATTTTATTAGTAACCAAGAAACAAACCACAATACGATAAATGTAGTTAAATTATCGAATAAATTGATGTTTTCACTTATTTACAACTTTATGATAGCTAAAATATAAAGCAATAAAAGAAAAAGTCTAAACAATTTCACTAAAATTACATGTAATTTAGTCACAAACGGATCGAGAATGTGGCGGGTCGATGATAGTACCCATCCCCCACCCCAAAACAGATCAAACAAATCGAATAAAACGAGTCAGATCGATATTTCCATCCCTACCCAGTACCCACCACACCCTCCTCCGGCCTATAAATTCGCTCTCACAAACCCAATCCTCCTCCGTCCCAAACCAATCCCACCACAAAGTTAATCACCTATTAATTAACTTAACTCATCCCATACACAATTAACTATCATGGGTTCCATAGCCAACGAGAACAATGAGACGCCGACGCCGCTGCTGATCAGCGGCTTCACCGTGACGGTGGTGAAGAATGAGCTGGTGGCGGCCGCGCTGCCGGTTCAGGAGCATTGGCTCCCGCAGTCCAACCTCGACCTGCTCGTGCTGCCGTTGGACGTCGGGGTATTCTTCTGTTACTCCACGGCGCCGGCGGGCGGCATGGATGCCGCTGTAGCCGGGCTGAAGAATGGGCTGGCGCAAGTGCTGGTGTCGTACTACGCCTTGGCCGGCGAGGTGGTGATGAGCTCCAGCGGGGAGCCGGAGCTGCTGTGCAACAACCGTGGGGTGGAGTTCTCTGAGGCTTACGCCGACGTGGAGCTCAGGGAGCTTGACTTGTATAAGCCGGACGAATCCGTTGGAGGCAAGCTTGTTCCTCGTAAGAAGGACGGCGTTTTGGCTGTTCAGGTTTATACATCCTCTCTTCTCCCTGTATTTAGCGATTTTAATAATCCTACTATTGTTTCTATCACGGTTAAATTTGGCGGTAAACTGAAATTCCAAATTTTGCGCTATGTAGGTGACAGGACTGAGATGCGGGGGAATCATGGTGGGATGCTCGTTCGACCACCGCATCGCTGACGCTTACTCTTTCAACATGTTCCTAGTCTCATGGGCTGAATCGGCCCGGTCCCAGCCCATCTCCATCCACCCTTCGTTTCGCCGCTCTCTGGTCAACCCTCGCCACCCACTGTCCTCCTCGACCCCAATCCTCGATGACATGTACATCCCAGTTTCCTCCCTCCCGCCGCCATCCTCCGACGACCCTACCCTAAAAAGCCGAATATACCACGTCAAATCCGAGGAGTTGGTCAAACTACAGGAACTTGCCAACACACATGGGAACAAGAATCGTTTCTCGAAGCTGGAGTCATTTTGCGCATACCTCTGGAAGCTGGTGGCGAAATCTGCCCACAAAGACGACGTCGTGTCGAAGTTGGGGATCGTGGTGGACGGCCGATCTAGATTGGGGGACCAGATGAGGGCATACTTCGGGAACGTGATTTCAGTTCCGTACGGGGGGAAGCGGGTGAATGAGCTGGATGGGAGCTCGCTGGGCCAGGTGGCCGGTTGGGTCCACGAGTTTCTGGAGCGTGGGGCGAACCGGGAGCACTTCGTGGAGCTCATTGACTGGGTGGAGGTCCATAGGCCAGAGCCGACCATGCCGAAGATAGTTGGCATCGGTAGTGCGGAAGGGCCGGCGTTGGTCGTGTCGTCCGGCCGTGGGTTCCCGGTGAGCCGGGTGGATTTCGGGTGGGGTCCGCCGACTTTTGGGTCATATCATTTTCCATGGGGTAGCACGGCTGGGTATGTGATGCCAATGCCGAGCCCGAACGGGAAAGGGGATTGGATGGTATACATGTATATGCTCAAAGAGCAGTTGGAGTTGATTGAGAGAGAGGCTGCCTCTGTTTTTAGGCCCTTCACTTGGGACTATGTCGTATGATTAAGTTTATACTTATCGTAATTTTTAGAACTAATACCACTACAACACCTGAACTATAAAAAAAAAAATATTGCTTCTGGTACTAAGCATGTGTTATGACAATATTGTCCAGAACTATGTGAGTGTCTTCTTCTTTATGTTCTCATGTTTCCCGTTGCCATTAAAATTAATAGTTGACTGGATAAAAGTCAAACCATGTTTAACTATCAATGACATGACCGAACGTAGGCACTATGCCAAAAAAATCATATAAAATATTATTTTTCTTAAAGTGTTTATTTTGCTTTAATATTTTTAATATAACATTCAGGTCGGTGTTATGAGGATTTCTCAATAGAAACTCTCGCACACATACTTTGGATACATTATTCGACGCTCTTGAGTAGAGAATCCTCTTAGCGAGATCCTTCGAGTATTGGGGCTGCGCTACAGTTACAATACTCCTCGGGGAGGGATTGGTGGTGGTTCGGTCGTTTCCTACATCGACACTCTTGGTGAGTTTTGTTGCACTCCTTAATGTTTCGTCAGGTCCTCATTCTTTACTGTAGCAAATCGTATTGCCTCCCTCACCATATCTAGCTTAACACAATTAATCCTTTGAGCCCACCAATGCCTCTTTCTTCCATCCATAACATCAATTTGCCAATCTCTCAAAGGTTAAGAGAAATTCACTCAAAGATCCCATTTGTTTTAATTTGGCGAGAGCCTCGTGACTCGAGGCACTATCTGATGACCCAAACCTGACTCATAACTCCTCTCCAAACCTGGGGCCAACTCATCATCATCCTTGTAGTGACATAGCTACAGTTCAACCATTGTCAACATTAAGTGGAGTCACCTTCCATGTGATAAGATGCTAGTAGCAACTAGCACCAATATTGTCAGAACCGAACCGGAATATGACCTGATTATGTCAACGATTCACATTTTAGCAGTCCAATTGGTACTAAATCGTTAAAAACCTGTTAGAATACCGATATGTTATAAACGATAATGTCATAAGTAGAAGATACATAAGGTAATAACTTAATAACTAAAATGAAATGTACTTTCCATGTACCACTTAACAATTTTACATATTATATATATATATACACACTAGAAAACCCTACACCATTACACGGCCGCCCCATTCTTTCTTTTCCTTCTTTTTCTTCTTTCTTCCGTATTCTTCCTACTCCGCCGCTCCCAACTCCATCACCAGTCCACAATCGCTACGCTTCGTCGCCGTTGTCTGCCAACTAAAATCACCACCGTCCCTCCTCTGCCTCCTCACTCTATTATCTCCCTTTGCCAAAATTGAAAATCCCTTCTCGCCCGCAAAATCCTCAACCTCTCTTGGAAACCACCAACAACGCTGACCACCTGATTTGTACACCATCTTCGACTGTTCACGTAGTTGATTTACTGATTTTATTATAATCAGACAGATAGTGGCCAAAAATGGGTCAAGCGGGTTGAGCGTTTCGAGTGCTTAATCGTCACAGCCACTCACTGACAGGACAAACTGACTGTTGCGCCTATTTGACTGATCTGAACTGGCCTGACGATCGGGTGTCGATTTTACCGGTCGGACCGACTAGCTCGGGTCAGTTTTAATAATAATGAATAACACCATATGCTCTTCCAGTGTCTCATGAATTTAAAAAATTGTTCCATACGTGTTAACCATTCAGATAGCTCCTCACTCCCGTTGAGAAATTTTTTGTTGGAATGTATCGGTTTGATCATCAGTCCAACTCGACCCATACTCGTGCGGCAGTGCATCCAGGTTACCCGGCATGCTTGCGTATCTCTTCGATCCGTGGGTTCTGTTACGCGGAAGATTCTAAAAGGATGTAGGTACATGCATGCATCTTGCGATTCATGCACCAATGTACATACATCCCCCTTATCTCTCTTTTATTCATGCACCTTATTAATTACATTCATGTATGGGGCAAGTTCATGTATGGGGGGACTTCTAGGTTCGTTCATTTATGAAGGCCATATACATTGTACTTAGTGGAGAGGATGCATATATAAGCAGCCCTCTCCATCACTTTTCATTAATCCAGAAATTGAGAGTTTCCATCTCTAGAGCTTTTCTCCATACTTGTGAGTTTGAGTGAATACGAGCAAGGCTGACTTAGCGCTCTAACGAGACTTGAGTGCTAAGTATCGCACGGCCAAGAGTTGGTCCGTGACAAGTGGTATAAGAGCCAAGGTCGTAGCTCAACAAGTGAGAAAGAACCTCGAAGAGATGGCTGGATCCGGAAGCAAAGTTCTCAACAATGAGCAACAACGCGGTCGTGAGGAGAAGAAGGATCCAAACAAAAAGAAGAATCATGATAGATCTACTCAAGAGCCTTTGGTTGCAGCTCGGAGAATGTGGAAATGGAAGCTCGTGCAAAGCTTCTACGACTCACCCACACCGGCAGAATTCGTGACTATGTCAAGGAGTTCTCGGAATTGCTACTCAAGATCCCCCGATCTTCCAGACAAGGAGGCTTTGTTTGGCTTCCTTTTTGGATTGCAGCCTTGGGCAAAGTTGGAGCTCGAGAGGCATGGAGTGCAAGATCTTGCTACTGCCTTGGCAACAGCAGAGGCTCTCACGGAGTACAAGAAGAGTGAGAGGCCGAACGAGTCAAAGAACTCGAAGAGCAAAGGAGGAGGAGATCATCGGCAGCACTCAAAAGAAGGAAAAGGTTCGTACCAACATGGAGGCTCGAGCAAGGGAGCAAGATCTGGTAACTATGATAAACACATGTCTTGTTTCCTTTGCAACGGTCCACATAAGGTGCGAGATTGCCCAAAGAAGAGAAAACTAGCAGCCTTGGAGAAACAAGAATGGGAGACCAAGGAAAATGCTAGGGAAGATGAAGGGAAGATAGGCTCCATGCAGAGGCTAGGCGCGGCAAAATCCAGCGCCAAAGAAGTTAGCAAGGGGAGATTCTTTGTGATCACCCAATTCGAGGGAGGCGAGTCGAAAGCATTGGTTGACACCGGTGCGACCGACAACTTCCTTCGAGTGAAGAAGGCGGAGCGCTTGGGGATCGCTTACGAGAAGAGGCAAGGATCGCTCAAGACTGTCAACTCTGAGGCAATACCCATCCATGGTGTTGCCAAGAACGTGCCATTGAAGATCGAAGGTTGGGAAGGTGTTGCCGACTTCAGCATCATCACTATGGATGATCATTCGGTCATTCTTGGCGTCAAATTCATGGAGAAGGAGGGCGCGGTGATGGCAATGAATTCCAATACTCTCTACCTTGACAAGGTAGATAAGTTTTGCACGGTGAAGATGTTGCACGAAGAAGGGCCGAAGAGAGCTTTATCGGTCATGCAATTGGTAAAAGGAATGAAGAGGATGGAACCCATGTTCCTTGTCACTTTACGAGCAAAGGAAGAAGGAGGCTCGATGGCGTCAACACCTCTCATCGAGGGCGTGTTGGAGGAGTTTGTGGATGTGATGCCAAAGGAGCTACCAAAGAAGCTCCTGCCAAGAAGAGAAGTCGATCACAAGATCAAGCTTGAGAAAGGGGCGACCCCACCAGCAAGAGCACCCTATCGCATGGCCCCTCCCGAGTTGGAGGAATTGAGGAAGCAACTCAAGGAGTTGATGGATGCTGGCTTCATCCAATCTTCGAAATCCCCCTATGGAGCACCCATGTTGTTCCAGAAGAAGAAAGATGGTTCGTTGCGGATGTGCATCGATTATCGAGCTATTAAAAAGCTCACGGTGAAGAACAAATGGCCCATCCCCAACTCGGAGAAGCAAAGTGGTTCACGAAGCTTGATCTTCGCTCGGGGTACTATCAAGTGAGGATCGCCGAGGGGGACGAGGTGAAGACCGCTTGCGTCACGAGGTATGGCTCATACGAGTTCCTTGTTATGCCTTTTGGTCTAACCAATGCTCCTGCTACTTTTTGCACCTTGATGAACCAAGTATTCGAGCCGTTCTTGGATCGCATCATGGTGGTGTATTTGGATGACATCGTGGTGTACAGCAACACACTCGATGAACATGCCGAGCACTTACAACAAGTGTTCCAAGTCCTTCGAGACAACGAGCTCTACGTCAAGAAGGAGAAGTGCACGTTTGCAGCCGCGGAGGTTCCTTTCCTCGACCACATCATTTGCGGAGGCAAGCTAAAGATGGACGAAGCCAAGGTGGAGGCGATACAAGGATGGGAGCCACCAACGAGGGTCACCGAGTTGCGATCATTCCTCGGCCTGGCCAATTATTATAGGAGATTCATCAAGGGATACTCCGCTCTTGTTGCACCCTTGACGGATCGTCTAAAGAAGAACAAGGCTTGGGAATGGTCGGATCGGTGCCGCGAAGCATTTGAAGCCTTGAAGGATGCGGTGACGAAGGAGCCAGTGCTAGCACTTCCCAATCCAACCAAGGCGTATGAAGTGCAAACAGATGCTTCCGATTTTTCAATCGGTGGAGTGTTGATGCAAGAGGGACACCCAATTGCATTTGAGAGCCGCAAGCTCAATGAGGCCGAGAGGAGATATGCGGTGCAAGAGAAGGAGATGCGGCGGTGGTCTATTGTTTGAGAACGTGGAGGCATTACTTGCTTGGGTCGAAGTTCGTTGTAAAGACGGACAATGTGGCGACGAGTTACTTCCTCACACAGAAGAAGCTCACGCCCAAGCAAGCAAAGTGGTAAGGTTTCCTCGCGGAGTTCGACTTTGTGCTGGAGTATAAGCCGAGGAAATCCAACTTTGTTGCCGATGCTCTTAGCCGGAAGAGCACACTCGCCGCCATCAGCCAGCCGCAATTCCCCTTGAAGAAAAGGATTGAAGAAGGCCTTGGGCACGACCCCTTCGCCAAAACCATGGTCGAGTACATCAAGCAAGGGAAAACTCGGCGGTTTTGGATGAAAGGTGGACTCATCGTGACTAAGGGCGAGCGAGTGTTCGTGCCGCGGTGGGACAGCCTACGAAGGGAGATCATGAAGGAGTGCCACGACTCCAAGTGGGCTTGTCATCCCGGTATCGAGCACACGCAAGGTCTCATCGAGGAGGCTTACTATTGGCCTCGTATGAAGGACGACGTGGAACTCTACGTCAAGACTTCCCTTGTTTGCCAGCAAGACAAGATGGAGCAGCGGAGTCCAGCGGGCTTGTTGGAGTCATTACCCACTCCACAACGGCCTTGGGAAAGCGTTAGCATGGATTTCATCACCGGCCTTCCGAAAGTCAAAGGCTGCGGTTCCATCATGGTCGTCGTCGACCGATTTTCGAAGTATGGCATCTTCATCGCAGGGCCCAAAGACATGACGACCGAGCATGCAGCCCGCTTGTTTTTCAAGCACGTTGTGAAGTATTGGGGCATCCCGGTTAGCATCGTCAGCGATAGAGATGGCCGCTTCACCGGCAAGTTTTGGAGGGAGTTGTTCAAAATGATGGGCTCCGATCTAAACTTCTCCACGAGCTTTCATCCTCAAACGGATGAGCAAACCGAGCCGGTCAATGCTTTGGTGGAGGTCTACTTGAGGCATTACGTGAGTGCTAACCAGAAGGATTGGGTGAAGCTATTGGATGTAGCCCAATTCTCCTACAACTTACACCGAAGTGAATCCACGAGCATGAGCCCGTTCGAGTTGGCTACCGGGCAACAGCCGTTGACACCTAATACGATGACGACGGGGTACAAGGGCAATAGCCCATCTGCCTACAAGTTTGCACGAGGATGGCACGAGAAGATGGAGTTGGCGAAGTCTTATCTCGCTCGAGCAAAGAAGAAGATGAAGAAGTGGGAGGATAAGAAGCGGCGTCACTTGGAATTCGAGGAGGGAGACTTGGTGATGGTGAAGTTCTTCCCTCATCGATTCAAGCACCTAAAAAATGTGCACAAGGGGCTGTTGCAACAATATGAAGGGCCATATCCGATCTTGAAGCGGATTGGCAGGGTGGCGTACAAAGTTGAGTTGCCATCGCACTTGGAGATTCACCCCGTCTTCCATGTGAGTCAATTGAAGCCATATCATGAAGACAAGGAAGACGGAGCGCGAAAGGAGTCGACGAGGGCACCAACTCTCGTCACCACAACACATGAGCACGAAGTGGAGGAGACCATGGCTCATCGTGTTGTGCCTAGGCGTGGTGTTCACCCAAGCTACGCGGAATATCTTGTCAAGTGGAAGGGGCGGCCAGAAAGCGACAACACTTGGGAGAAGGAGCTTTCGCTATGGCGTCACAAAGACTTGATCGAGGCATTTCATGTGGAGTCCGCGACGAGGGCGTCGCGAGATTGAGTGGGGGAGAATGTTACGCGGAAGATTCTAGAAGGATGTAGGTACATGCATGCATCTTGCGATTCATGCACCAATGTACATACATCCCCTTTAACTATCTTTTATTCATGCACCTTATTAATTACATTCAGGTATGGGGCAAGTTCATGTATGGGGGGACTTCTAGGTTCATTCATTTATGACGGCCATATACATTGTACTTAGTGGAGAGGATGCCTATATAAGCAACGCTCTCCATCACTTTTCATTCATCCAGAAATTGAGAGTTTCCATCTCTAGAGCTTTTCTCCATACTTGTGAGTTTGAGTGAATACGAGCAAGGCTGACTTAGCGCTCTAACGAGACTTGAGTGCTAAGTGCCGCACGGCCAAGAGTTGGTCCGTGACAGTTCCAGGCCACGACCCTGCTCCGCTTGGCCCAGCACCCAGAGGCATGCTCAAGGCTCCACCGACCCATAGACCATTCCTCTCTCGCTTGTCGTGCTCGCTCTGCTGAACAGGATTTCCTGTTAGGCCCACGCAGCCCACCCGTTATCTCGTCTCGTCACTGTATTGGTGGTGGACCAAGCACCCAGCCTTTCCCACCCAGGAGTCACCAACCCTGCCCATGGCAACATCACCGCTGTCGCTGGCCCAATCGGCCTGAGGCCCATTCCTGTGGCTGGTCCTGGCCTGCTGCCTAGGGTTCCTTCTAGTCGAGTGTTTCGTTCTGCATTTCTTGTGATTCTTTAAGTGCTTCAAGTTCATTTCTTGTAACTAGTGCTTACTCTTGGCATTTGCTTTGGGAGTTGATAAATTGTCATCCTTAAAATTATTAATGGTTGTCCTAAAATACAACAAAGTTACATTTTTAACCTTTTGACATCTTTACATTTTCTTTAGCAAACAAACATCATTTTGACTAAAAAAACTTAAAATTATTAATGGTCGTCCTAAAATACAACAAAGTACCATGGACCAACCAAAAATCAACTTCGGTTGTACCATGGATCAACCGAAAACTATCTTCAGTTGAGCCATGGTGCAATCGAAGATGATTTTTGGTTGGTCCATGGTACAACCGAAAATTGGCTTCGGTTGAGGGGTTTTTGGGACAACCTTTAACCATTAAGTTCGCTTTTGGGCTTATTTGTAAATTCGTCTAACAACATACTGTTAGTGTTAACATGGTTATTGATTTATAATTGGGTTAAATTTTGGTATGGCCTGAACTTTGACCAAAATAAACATCCTGGCCAATCTTTTCGATCTATAACATCTTGCCCCGAACTATGCACCAAAATAAACAATTTGGCCAAATCCGACTTTTGACCGTTAACTTGGACAGTCAAACGCGCTGACCGTTAGTCAACGCGCCATGTCAATGCCAAGTCAGCATAAAATATTTAAAATAATTCACAATTTCCACACATTCCCTAATTTTAAATTATTATAAATTAAAAAAATTATCTAATACCTTAGTTAAACCAAAAATAAAAAACGAAAAAAATTAAATATTGATCTGATCTTCTCTCCCCAAAATGGTTGCCCATCGATCTGTTCCTACTCTCCATCATCCTCCTCCTCACCATCTCCGTCGACCCTTCCTCCGTCAATCCCCCTCAAACCCGATCCTCCAATCACTTCCCCACAATCCAACCCATCTAATTGAAATATCTCTCTCCACTCTCTGCTTCATCTTCTTCTTCCCCAAAAATCCCCAATATTCTCAAACTCCCGGTCAATTCTAAAACCTAGCTCTTTCGAGCCATCTCCATCCTCCCGCTCTGTGCTTAACCCTTGTCGCCATTTCTCCCCAAACCCGTTGGGAAGTCCAACCTCCTATCGCTCTAGGCGAAGAACGAGTTCAACCTCCACTACAAGACCACCATCGGCGTGGAGTTCCACATCTAGAGCATGGAAATCGACAACAAGGAGGTCAAGGCCCAGATTTGGGACACCACCGCCCAAGAGAGGTTTCGCGCCGTCACCTATTCTTACTACAGGCGCGCCTTCGACGCCCTCGTCGTCTACGACATCAGCCGCAAGACCACCTTCGACAACGTCAGACGATGGCTGGATGAGCTCAAAAGTAAGTATGCCCAGCTGTGCTCATTTCAATTTCTACTCTTTCTTTTGCATTCGTCGATTGAAATTGATTGTGGCTGGGAGGTTGGAAGTAGATCTGAAGCTTTGAACTGAAATTGAGGAGCTAATCGAATCTTTCCATTCTGTGGAGTAGTGGTTTTTTTATAATATCGCTTCATATGGGGGAATTAGAATTCTTGGCGCGGAGCTAGCTAGCATTTGTCTGGATGTGTTTGCTTCTACTCAGTGGTTCCCTCTTTGTTACTGTATTGATGAAACTTTATCGAGCGATGAGTTCGGTGGTATGAGATACGAGGAAGAAGAAAGGCGGAGTGGTAGAGAAAGGTGCAGGGGAGCACCGATGGATACTCCAAATGTCATAAGTAAAAGCATCCCAACTTGCACCATAATGTCATAAACATTAACATAATGTCATATGGAAACACGATTATCTCTACTCTTTAGTTAAATGTGGTTGGGAATTAAGGAATGACGAGATTCACAAAACTAAGGTTGAGACTTGGGTGTCGTTTTGGAAGTTGGAAGAGTGGTCGAATTGGCTGTTAACACGTATTTACAAGTCAGTTGGGTCCACGGTTTGGTCCGGTAAACCGCGATCTAGACCAGACCAGACCAAGAGATCAAAATATAAAATAGTACAGACCATGTACCAGACCAGACCATATTTAATGGTCTACGATCCGGACCAAACTGTACGGTATAGTTTGGACCACGGTTTTTCTAATGGTCTGATCTATTTTCCCAGCCATAGTTCAAGCCATACGAAAATATTAACCCTTTATAATTCTATCAAAGATTTTAGTTTTTTTTTTTTTTGCATTTACATAGATTTGCGCATTTGGCTAATATTTTGACAAAGTTGAAACTTTTGACTAACCAATTGTATTGTATTAAGTCTTAATTACACGTCTTTCGATTGCTCTGGTGCATCATTTCCTTGGTCAAACATTCCGCTCAATGTATCTCCTCGAATATCCGACCCGTAGATATGACCCATCTTGACCCGCTTCGCCTCCAGGTACCTCTTGTTCTCCTCCGTGATGGGCGTCATCACCGGAACCCTTCCGACCACCGCCAGCCCGTACCCTTTCAGCCCCACAAACTTGGCCGGGTTGTTCGTCATCAGCCGCATCGTCCTCACCCCAACATCCCTCAAGATCTGCGCCCCGATGCCGTACTCCCTCGCGTCCACCGCCAGACCGAGCTCGATGTTGGCCTCCACTGTGTCGTGCCCCAAATCCTGCAAGTTGTACGCCTGAAGCTTGTGACCCAGCCCGATCCCTCTCCCTTCGTGCCCTCGTAGGTACACCACCACTCCTCTCCCGGCTTCCTCTATCAATCGCATCGCCAGATCCAATTGGTTCCCGCAGTCGCACCGACCCGACCCGAATATGTCGCCCGTCAAGCACTCCGAGTGGACTCTCACCAGTACGTCCTCGCCGTTCCCTATTTCTCCCTGCCAAAAACCACACAACGATTTAATTGATGAATCATTGAAATTGGCTTTCCTTATGGGTTCTTCTTGTTACCTTGACAAGGGCTATATGTTCAGTATCATCTAGTTTTGAGCGGTAGCAGTAAGCGTCAAAGATGCCACGCTTTGTGGGTAGGCCAGAGATGGCTGTTCTTTCCACCAATTTCTCCCTCTTTCTCCGGTACCTACAATGGCGTCTTTGACGGTGAGTTCAATTTACAGTAATGGTAATGTTTACAGTTATGTAAACAATTTGGGTCACCTTATTAGATCGGTAATTGAGACGATTGGTATGTTGTGTGCGGCAGCCAAATTTCTAAGATTTTCCAACGAAGCGATGGACCCATCCTCTGGATCGACGATGGCCGATATAACAGAGACCGGCCGCAACCCGGCGAGCATAACTAGATCAACAGAAGCTTCAGTGTGTCCAGCCCTTCTCAAAACGCCGCCGTTTCGGTACTTGAGTGGGAAAACGTGGCCTGGTTTCCTGAAATCTTGAGGGTTGGACCCTGCAGAAGCTAGAGCGAGCACCGTCTTTGCTCTGTCTGCCGCTGATACTCCCGTCAAAGTCCCACTTTTCGCGTCCTTCATCCAACATTGCGCAATCCAAATGTTGGGGGTAAAGAAATTAAAGCGGTGAATTGGAGTGGAGATTGAGAATTCTTACCACGGTGATTGTGAAAGTAGGGGCGGAAGAATCCTCATCTTCGGTCTCAGGGGACATTAATGGAAGCTTGAGTCTGACGAGATCCTCTTCCGTCATCCCGACGGAGACGATGCCGGAGCCATGCTTCATCACGAACGCCACGTGTTTCGCGGTGATGAACGCCGCTGCCATGACCAAGTTCCCTTCAACGACTCCGCCGCCGTCGTCCTCATCGTCAACCACGACCACAAACTGAAACCAAGAGAAAGGGGGGACAAAAATCCCCTTTCTGTATTAGCAATGGAAAAAAAGGAACGAAAGAAAAAGAAAAGAGAGGTTTAATTCTCCAACGAATTGGGACTTTCTGACCTTGCCCTGGCGAAGGATGTGGAGGGCGTGGTCAATGGAGGAGTACCCTGCAGTTGGGCAATCAGGGTCTCCCTCTGCATCGCTGACGAAGAAATCAATGGTCTCCGAGGTGATCTCGGCGCTAACCGTTCCAAACGGCGCCGAATCGGTCTCGTCCTTCAACGCGTAGCCGTTTTGGTTTCTGCAGTCGTCGGAATCGGGCAGCTCGCCGGCTCCGACTCTATGGACGGCGATGCTGGTGGCGAAGGAGGCCCTGTTTCTGGGTTGAGCTGCGGCGCCGGAGGGAAGCGGATGAAGAAGAGAGTTGCGGTGGAGGACGTGGCGGGGAAAGTGGAGAGCGTGGGGAAGTAAGGCGGCGGAGTCCATTGGGGGGAAATTGAGTTTATGTTGTTTCTGCTCATGCTAGTTGTGGAGCAAGGATTGCCATGGCCGTGAATGATGGTGAAGGAAAACTGACGCCTATGGTTCTGGATTTTTGTTTTTCGTTCCCTCCGAGTCGGTGACATTATCCGAAGTGGGATATATATATATATGGAGAAATGAGAAAATGGAGCGGCCGGAAAGAAACAATCAAACAAAACTATTTACCATCATCGTCTTCTCCCTCTTCTCCAGCTACTATAAATCTCCATCCTTCACCAGTCCTCATCGACCCTCCTTCTATTTTTTTTCTCTTTTTCTTCCTATTCTTCAAATGATAATCATTGCTATTAAAATCCCCCAAGAAGCAGCCCATTTGTGGCCATATTTCGAACTTCCTTCTCGTTCTGAATCAGAGGCGACTATGGAGAAAATGATGGTAACTGCTCAAGTTTATAGATAGGGTTTGATGATTTTAGGAGACTTATAGCAGCAACAATGAGTGGCTAAGTCAGACAGATTGACTCCCAACTTACTAATAATTCTTTGAGTCTTACTTGATGCAACCCTTTGGTGAATAGATATGTCAACTGGTTTATTGTGTTGTTGTGTACTTGTATTGTAATTTGATTAAAGCTGATTGGTTCTTTTTCTTGTCACATGAATGTTGATTTCAATATGCTTTGTCCATTTGTGAAAAACAGGATTTTCAACAATGTGGATAGACGATCTATTTTTGCTGTAGACTATGATAGGTAATGGTACTTTTATTGTTAGTTGCTCTAGCAATCCCTTCAGCCATTATACCTCACATAATGTCAACAAAAATCTTGCGCCATTAAATATCTAATTGGTCAATCTTGAGTCATTAAATAGCTCATTGGTTAATTAATTTTTGTTAATTGACTACTACTTAAGAGAAAGGAAATAAAATTAGGGAAGGATACTAAGTTGATTGTGTATATACTTACAAAGATTACTAAATTTTCTCTCAATAAACTTTACGGGTTATATCTCTTTTGTTTTAAGTCGAAATTAAAAAAAAAATGTTACACAATAATCATATTAATTATGCTCTTCAAAATGACATCCAGTATGATATACTTTGGAACAAAAAAATTTTGAGACTCTTATTACCAATCCATACCATGTGGTGCTGCTTGATATGTACATAAGATTATACCATGTAGTATGAAAGTGTAACAGAGTAGTATAAATATACCATAGTGTAGAATAGTTGTATACATGATAGTAGGAATATATTAAATGTTATTTACCATATTTTATCAATATCTACCACTAGTTACCACCCTATACCATGGTGGCACCGAGTGATATATTTGGTCCTGAATTTTTTTCCCTCATAAATTTGGAATCCAATAGATCACCATGAACTCGGTCTTTTGAGCAAAATTTTACAAAATTCAAGTTATAACAAAGGTGATACCAAAATTGTAAAAAGAGGTATGAATTTTTTTCCCCAAAATATATTAAGAATCGATGTAGATTACAACAAACTCATTCTATTTGTGTAAATAGTGAAAATCAGGTCTCCGGTACGGGATATTTAGGAATGCTTTTATTCTTTACAAACGAAGTGGCTGTAGTTTAGTGGTTAGAATATCACGTTGTGGCCGTGATGACCTGGGCTCGAATCCCAGCAGCCACATTTCTATTTTTTTCCCATTTATTGATGTTGTCCTCTTCAACCGCATAATCTTTTCCCTCTCTTCACCAATCACCCTATCGCACTACTCCTTCCGATGCTGCTGCTTCTTCTCTGTTTCTTCGCTTCCAGGGGACTAATAAATCTAGGAGGAGCACACGGAATCGAAGTACTAGAATAAATCCAGGGCGGCGGCGGCGGCGGCGGCGAAACCATGGCGACTCCGAGCGAGAACGGAGGGGAGGAGCAGAACGATTTGGGCGAAGAGATAGTGAAGGCGATGATGGAGAGGACGAAAGCGGAAAGTGGTGCCAGATCTATTCAGTGGAATGGCTAAGGAGATTAGAGAGATAGAAGAAGGAGATAAGGAAATCTCGAATCTCTCTGCCTCTGTTCCTCCATGCCTTCAAGTTCATAGAAGAAAATTTTCTGATTTAGGGTTTTGTTTCAATAGATTTCACCCTCAATTGATTCGAAGGTTTGTGGTTCTATGTTTGATTGCTTGCTCAACATCGCCGCCCTCTGCTACCCATATCTCTCTTCTATGCCCTCGTCCTTTGCTTACCCACACAGATGAGGAGGAGTTGCCGCGGCGCGATAAGCAAAGATCATGTAGGCTTGAAGGTCCTTGTTCCAGCTAGGGGAAGTTGAACTACAGTACTTTTGAGTCTCAACCATCGATCGGGGATGGAGATGGCGGAGGAGAGGCGCAGACAAGGCAGGGAGAGGGGATTGTTTTCCGGGAAGTGTAACCGTGGTCGGGAGAGATGATGGCGATGGAGGAAGATGAAGAGATTGGCGGAGTGGAGTGTCCAGATGATTCCATGGAGAAGAGCTCTCAGTGGAATGGGGGAGAAAGGAATAAAAATAAAATTTTTTTGCTAAAAACTAATATTGTAATATGAAGTGTCATCCATGTGGAAGGCATGTTGACTTGTCGTTTGATTTTTTTATTAAAAAAAATTGTTTTCCACGTGGAAAAGACGCAAAAGAAAACACGCCACATCAGCCGCGACCGTTAGTCCAGTCACCGAGTTAAGTGAACCGTCAAAGAATTGCACGGAAATGGCTACATCTGTGTATTATTCAAAAAGTGGCTATATTTGTCAAAACCGTGAAAGTTATGGCTACACAGGTGAATTAAACCTAAATGTTATTTACCATATTTTATCAATATCTACCACTAGTTACCACCCTATACCATGGTGGTACCGAGTGATATATTTGGTCCTGAATTTTTTTCCCTCATAAATTTGGAATCCAATAGATCACCATGAACTCGGTCTTTTGAGCAAAATTTTACAAAATTCAAGTTATAACAAAGGTGATACCAAAATTGTAAAAAGAGGTATGAATTTTTTTCCCCAAAATATATTAAGAATCGATGTAGATTACAACAAACTCATTCTATTTGTGCAAATAGTGAAAATCAGGTCTCCGGTACGGGATATTTTGGAATGCTTTTATTCTCTACAAACGAAGTGGCTGTAGTTTAGTGGTTAGAATATCACGTTGTGGCCGTGATGACCTGGGCTCGAATCCCAGCAGCCACATTTCTATTTTTTTCCCATTTATTGATGTTGTCCTCTTCAACCGCATAATCTTTTCCCTCTCTTCACCAATCAGCCCTCTGTATTATTTCTTCATTCCCCCTTCTGCTGCAAGGCTCCTTCTGATAAAGGTAAATCCTCTCTCTTCTCCTTCTCTCATTTTCGCCCTCACATTTTCTGCATAGTTCATCTCCAATTTGAGTTCCTGAAAGATGAATTACCAACACCACCATGAAAATCACAGCTGAAACTTCATTGTAGAATCTCAAACCAGAAATCATTGTCTCCCCAGTCGGAGTTTGATATCAAGCCATGTTTTAGGTTCACAAAGTTGCATTTCGCCTTTTTCCACAGCGTTTCAGTGATGATTTCCTCACTGACTTCAATGTTTCAGTCCTTAAAACTTGCAACATTGATGTCCAACCGCAGATTTGTAGATAACTTGGGTAGTTTTCTACCTAGGATTTTCGCGGTCATTCCTGAACTCGTCCATGGAGGGGTTTAGGGTTTTACTTTTCCCCCTTTGCATTGCATACTAGCTGAAACAAATGCTTGACATCGCTTTGCCTGTACGCTTAATGCTCCTTTGTTTTTGGTTTCTATAGTACCATGCTGTTCATGTTTGATTGTTAAACAAATTAATCACATCTCCAAGGGAGATCGTTTCACTGCATGTAGAAACAGAGGCTGAAACTACTGAAGGTGCCATGGAAGTGGACGAAAGCTTGCTGCAGACTGCTGCTGAAGACATACTAGAGGAGTATTTCCCCAGGCCCAGAATCAGTAGGTTGAATCAATATGCACAGAGTTTTTCCCTTCAAGCTCTGTGTGTGTTTGAGTAGTCATGCTGTGTTTGATTTATATTCAGCTTTAAGTTAAAATGGATTCATCCTACTTGAACAAATAACTGATGGGATGTTGGCCAATTTTTATGTTAAAAGTTTAAACAAAGAACTTAGTCTGCCCTTAAGCCTCAACTCAACGGGGTTGTTCTTCAGTAAAGGAGACTGTTAGAAGCTATTACCTCTTACTTCAGTGATAAGGGGAATAATAACTCTCTACTTCCCTGTTTCAGCAAAACCACCTTCTCAGATTCCCCAAATCGACCGATTGAAGAAGCAGGTTAGAGATTTGGATGGTTTCCAAATGTGGAGCAAGAGTGTCAACCGTGATTCGGGCAGTTTGTCCCTTCATGCTATACCAGGTGATGATGGTTGCTGTCACTGCCAGGATGTTGGGATGACAGATGAGCAGACTAAAGCTTTTCTAAATTCAAGGTGCTGGGTTTCCTCTCGACATAATGGCTCCTTGTTTTGCATCACTTGAAGAATTTTGGCCTGCCCTTTCCAACTGTGGCAATCTCAAAGCTACTTGTATCTGTTTGCTATACGTGGTGAACCAGATTGAAACGAGGCAAAGGCAACATTGGATCGCAGGAGGGGGCTCATCATTGTTCATGCTATGGTGTTGGAATATTGGGTTCAAGGTTTTAAGACTTCTATAGCTTGATGTGGATTCTTAAAATGCTTTGCTTTCAGTATGTGCTTTTGTTGATCAATAAGAACCGTAATTCATTCCGCATTTGGGTTTTTCGTCTTTGGCAGGGGTAGACCAGATGTATGGTCGAGGCTAAATGTAGAGAGATGCCATTCTAAGCCAGTTGCTGAAGTGAAGCCATGGTTGAATCTTTCAGATCCTGTGGTAGCATGGATGAATGGTGTTTATGGACTCAAGAAGAGGGAATCACAGTAGCTGATACTACTTATGACTTATGAGCGTGTGTTTTACTGAATCATTGTGGATATCAGGTATATGTATGTATAGGTTTCGTTAGATGTTGCTGATCTTATGAATTTAGAACATCATTATGGATATCTGAAAGGTGTATATATTGTGCTTCATGTATAGAGATTAGGAAGGTGTTCTGCCGTGATCTGCCTATGAAATTCAACGACTAGTTAATGATTGTCGAGATAAACATTCAGAAAAAAGTGAAGATGAGTGAAGGTAAAATATGGTGATTGAATGTCCGTGTGGAGCTGGAATTTAGATGCGCAACTCAGATGCTCACGAGCACAGAGAGCTCCACCCACAGTCATTCAGCCATCGTGGCTCGCTTCCAGGATTTGGTTGATTGTGACTGGGTAGTTAATATTTCACATATTTACAGTGAGGCTAAAAAGTGTGTGATCGATACGGAGATGCGAAACGAAGGACAAGATCGGACCAGAATACGGCACAGGATTTAACGTGGTTTCCTTGCTCAGTATGAGCGAGACTAGTCCATGGTAGGAAACGGAGTCTATTCATATGCTCAACAAGTACATACATATATATATATAGTTTCACGCGCTCTAAGCCTGGCCCGCCAAAACAAGCAACTATCAGTTAACGTAGACGACCGAAAGAGAGCCTCCATCCCCAACTTCCTTTCAATCCACATCCTATATATATATATTCGGCACACCATAACCCTAGCTACGCCGAACTACTCATGCTACGTATGGGCCTAAGCATACGCACATGGGCTGAAGTCCATAACTCAATAGCCTCCCCCAAATTGATGAAGATTTCTCATCATCAATTTGCCAGCAAGATAGGAATGACGACTCGTAGAAAATGTCTTAGTCAATAAATCTGCAATCTGAACTTCTGACTTAACATAGACAAGTCGGATAGTCCCAGCATGGACTAAGTCACGAATGTAGTGGAGATGGACTTCCATGTGTTTGGTGCGATCAAGTAGAACTGGATTCGTGGCAATTTGAATGGCACTAGTATTGTCAACATAGAGCTGCATCGGAAGTTGACATACCACACCCAATTCGCTGAGCAAGCGCTGGAGCCATTCCAATTCAGAGGTAACGTCGGACATGGCGCGATACTCCGCCTCGGTGGATGATTTGGAGACACGGTCCTGCTTCTTACAGCGCCAGGAGATGAAGGAGTCACCAAGTCTTATACACCAAGTAGTCGTCGAACGACGAGTATCTACACAACCTGCATAGTCAGCATCAGAAAATGCCTCAAGCTGGAGAGTACCAGTCGATGGGAGAAATAAACCAATCTCCTTTGTACCCTAAAGATAGCGCAAAAGACGGTGTACTGCATCGAGATGGGAAGTCTCAGGTAATGACATGAACTGACTCACTATCTGAACAACATACGCAATATCTGGTCGAGTAGAAGTCAGATAAATCAGAGAACCCACAATACTACGATACTGCTTCCCCCCATCTGGTAGCAAATCGCCAGAATCAAGACCGAGCTTCAAATTCGCCTCCATATGTGTTGAAACTGGGAGACACTCACCGAACTGAACAGACTCCAATAGGTCAATAATATACTGTCGTTGATTAAGAAGGATACCACCCCTAACACGTTGAACCTCCAAGCCGAGAAAATATGACAGCTCACCTAGCTCCTTCAATGCAAAGGCACTGCGCAGACCACTAGTGAGAGCCTCAATACCGGCCGAATCATCACTAGTTACGATCATATCGTCGACGTACAGGAGTAGAGCAACAAGGCCACGAGAAGTACGACGAGTAAACAAAGAGGGATCATTGAGACTCTGCTGAAACCCAAGCTCCAAAACAGTATGCTGAAACTTCTCAAAGCAGGCACGAGGTGCCTGTTTGAGACCATAAAGCGAACGGCGAAGCAAACAAACCTGATCACGAGAACCCAAAGAATAACCCGGTGGACACTCCATATAAACTGTCTCCTGCAAGTCACCATGTAAAAATGCGTTTTTGACATCTAGCTGAAACAGAGGCAAACCCTGTCGAGAAGCAACGACCAAGAGAGATCGAATAGTGACCATCTTCGCAACCGTGACAAAAGTCTCGTTGTAATCCACACCAAAAGCCTGAGTAAATCCCTAAGCCACAACTCGAGCTCTATACCTCTCGAGAGTACCATCAGGACGCATCTTTAGAGTGTAAACCCACCAACTACCAACCACAGGAACTTCAGGCGGTGGACGAGGAACCACATCCCACGTGTGATTCGCATGAAGGACAGCAAACTCATCATCCATAGCTCCTTCCCAATGAGGGTTACCTTGTGCCTCACGTAGCGAGTCGGGATGGGAATGGCGTCAACGTCATATGTAACGAAGTCATGAAGATGGATAGGGAGTTGCCCCTGCGTGGAACGAAGAGACCGCCGGAGAGGAGGTACGACTACAGCTAGGGACTCGTCAGAAGAAGACCCAGTGGATGATGGCGAGGAAGACCCGCTGGACGACGACGAGCTGGGAGAGGTGGGAGGGAGTCGGGGGGTAGCCCATCATCAAGGACGTCAACATCATCATCAACGAAGGACGGGGGACCTATGGAAGAAGCAAACAGTGACGGAGAATCGAAAGAAGGACTAGAATAGAACATCAAGTTCTCAAAGAAGATCACATTACAGGACACCCTAAGCCGTTGAGTGGAAGGTTCAAAACAAAGGTATCCTTTATGGATATCACTATAGCCAAGGAAGACGCAACGAGTAGTTTTTGACATAAGTTTGGTTCGTTCAGACCGAGGACGCAGGACAAAGCAGGTGCATCCAAAAACTCGAAGACGAGAATAGGGTGGATGTTTGTAATAGAGCCGGAAGTAGGGACTTATCTGGTCAAGAACAGGGGTGATTTGATAGTTGATGAGACGAACAGCTGTGGGACACGGTTTCAGGGCAGAAGGAGGAAGGAACATGAGAGGCTAACAGAAGGGCACAGGTAGTCCCCATAACATGTCTGTTTTTGCGTTCAACCAGACCATTCTGTTGGGAAGTGCCAGGACAAGCTTTTTGGGGGAGAATACCATGGGATCTATAGAGCTGAAGGAGGGGATGAGAACTAAATTCGCCGCCCTCATCATCCCGGATGACACGAATAGTTTGAGAAAACTAGGTATGAATCATAGTGATAAACTCAGTGGCAACAGTAAAAAGGTCGGATTTGAGGCGGAGGAAGTAGACCCAGGTAAATCTAGTGGCATGATCAACAAAAGAGCAAAATATTTGTAACCATGACGAGAAGTCACAGGACTGGGTCCCCATAGATCAGTGTGCATGATGTGAAAAGGCTCAAGAATAGTCGTTTTGCTAGAGGGAAATGAAATACTAGTGGCTTTAGCCTCAACACAACTGTTGTGCACGAAAAATATGATGAATCACCAATCACCTTATCACCAAATAATTTATGTTTAAACATCGTCAATAGCCGACTAGAATTAGGGTGACCTAGACGAGAATACCACAAATGAAAAAGTTTATCACGAGTAGTAGAAAAGACAGGCAGACCAGAAACCCTAGACACCGAAGAAGTAGATACCCTATACACCGAAAATGATGATGATGATGTGACTGGAGGCCGCGCGTCAAGCTCCTCCAAATGAAAAAATGCGGCCATGCTTGCTACCCCAACCGATCTCCCTCCCGGTCGTAGATCCTGCACAGAGCAACCAGAAGGTGCAAAAACCACTCGATAGTTTTGTTTAGTGAGCTGACCAACGGAAACCAAATTAGGAACTAAGTAAGGAAATGTAAAGTAAACGGGAGAGACAACGAGGCTGGGAAACATAACCAACTCCCTCTACTTTTAACTTATTTCCGTCGGCAACATGCAAGGCGAGATTCTCAACCGGACGAACATCTTTTAAAGCAGACAATTGACCAGTCATGTGATTAAAACAGGCGGAGTCAAGAATCCATGAAGGAACCTTACCCGAGAGTTGATGGCTGGCGAAGGCGGAGGCAATTGCTTTGTTAACAAGCTGTTCCAAAGCATCAGAAGTCACAACGACGCATCGCTGGAGCTAGCTGGCTGGGCGGCAAATGCAGGGCGAGCAGAGGACGATCCACCAGAGGAGGCACCCATCTACTTCATACGAGCCTGTAACGATGGACAATCGGGAATAATATGACCAACGCGTTTACAATACACACACCAATTGCGCTTGCGGCAGTACTTTTGAGTATGGCCTTTTGCGTGGCAATGATGACACTCTACGTCGGAGCGCCGCAGAGGAGGATGAAAGGCGGCATAAGCAGATTCCTCGACGTCGGTGTCGGACCTAGCAGGAGTAGCACGAGCGGGAGAGGGGCGCTGGTCACGAGCAGCAGCAGGTAAGCTCCCCTGGTCACGAGCAGCAGCATGTAAGCTCGATTTGGTGGTGCGCCTCCCACCAACGGAAAAAATCGCCGCATCACCCTGCCCTGGCTTGAAGGATTTTTCCAATAATAGCACATTTTAAAAAAAAATTACAAAAATAGCACCATCCGAAAAAATTTACCCTAATAGCACCCTTTTTTGTGGACCGCACCTCTAAGGTGCGTTTTGCGCCACGTCAGACTGGGAACCGCACATCCATGGTGCGGTCTGTGTTTGGTGGGCAGCGGCCTTGCAGACCGCAGGATTGTGTGGCGATCTAGCGGGCATGAGCAACGCCACGTCAGCGATCCGCACCGTGGATCGCAGAACGCAGCGAGGAGGAGCTGTTTGGCAGCGTGGATCGCGGAACGCACCGTGAATGAGCGGTCAGCGCCTCGGGACGCGGAGACCGCATCGGGAGGGAGCGTTTCTGCCCTGGCAAAATTACCAGATTTCCCCTGAGGGGTGCGGTCTGAATAGTATAAATACCCCCTCCCCCCTCTCATTTTTTAACACCACAACCATTCTCTACTCTCTCTCTCTCTCTAGAATTATCTCTCTAAACCCTCCCCTACCAAAAGCCTAGGAAATAGTGGTCTGTTGATTGCGGCTAAGTCCGATCTGTCATCAGAAAACATTTCTTAGATTTTTTCCTCAAAACCCACCGAGCCGAATCTCTGTCCGAATTTCCCGAAAAAATGGACGATTGGTGGCAAGGAGAGGGAGTTTATGTTGATGAATTTCAAGCGGTACGTACTCATTATTCTGGTTTAATTTTTGTTGTTGTTATAAGATTTTTAATTAATCTACGTACTAACCTCGTTGTTATTTTCTCGTAGGTTGGGGA